ACCCAATCTCTCCCCACCACTGTAAAATCCCATTTGCAGTGGTCCCTGTACTTATCGCAATGATCCTGAATAAAATCTGCTTTACCCTCTTTAACAAATGTCATCGGATACTTTTTTCTGTAATATTACTTGGAAATATTGTAGGTATGTCAACGGTATCTATAGGACTAACATCTGTTTGCCTTGAAAATGACAACAAGGCCTTAGCTGGTTTGACTAATCAGTTAGAGCGTCGGCCTGCAGACTGTAGGATCTTGGGTTAGATTCCCGGTCAAGGGCACATACCTGGGTTGCAGGTTTGAGCCCTGGCCCTGGTTGGGTTCCTGCGAGAGACAATCAATCTATGTGTCTCTACCACATAGACGTTTCTCTCTCTCTCTCTCTCTCTGCTAATAGGTTCTACTTAAGTCTGAGGCCCCAGATCTCACCACTTCATAATTTCCTTGGCCATCTCTATTCCCCAGTCCCTATACTATCTCTTCATAAATCTCCACAGACCTATAAAACAGAACATCCACTCTACAAATAGCTATTAATCCAACATTGGGAGGTTCCGTTAACTTTTTTTTTCCCCAGGAAGAACTAAAATGAAACCCTAGTTCTTTTATTTAATTAAAAAAATTTTTTTTCAATTACAATTTGTCCATTACCTTCTATCCTGTCATTCTGGCAAATGGCAGGAATAAAACCTCTGGCATTGCCATTATTTCTGTCACTCCTCCATTTTATAAGACCTCTCAGACTATGAGCTTTCCTAGGTTTGTTAAGGGTCAACACAACAGTCATCTTTCATCTCATGAAGAATGAGTAAGGGGTAGAGTGAAGAAGGAACATACACCCAAGAACTCACGGGAGTTGGCATTGGCGATTTCATTGGTCTCATTGGGGTCCAACCAGACCTTCTTTTTGCCACAGCGGAGGACGCTGGAGGCAAGCCTCTTTTGAAGCCTAAGCATACTGTGAAAAACAGAACACACCATCAGGCCCTGGAAGCCATTCCTGGGCAAGAATGAGCATCTCAGCAAGACCTGGCCTTCAAAGTCTTCTAATGTCGTGAAACATAACAGTTGGGAAAAGGGATGTACAGATGCCCTTAGTATTAAGGGCAAACAGGTCCCCCTCCACTAAGATTTTGCCACCTACACCACCACACCCCCAGATTAAGAATCCGTCCTTTATCGAGATCCTTCTCTGGTAAATGAGGATAACGGGTAAAATTAGGAGGAAGAGGGGGCTTATGTCCGTTCTGGTATTCAGCTCTAGAGACAAGTGTTTGGCGTGAAAAATCCGAGGCCAGTAAACATGATTTGCTAGTCTAGTCCTTTGCTTCCTGTGCTCGTATCCTTCGTCTTATCACAATAAAACTATATTTAGCTGGCTTTAGAGTTTTCTTAAGAGCGGGTCTATGGGGTGCTAGGATGGCCTCACTCTTGCCAGTCGGAGGCCTGGGGCCTAAGTCACATAAATGCAGAAATCAGCTCGGATCCAGGAGCGCCCTGCAAGTACAGGAGCCCAGGCCTAGTCAGCGCTGCTACCTTTCCTCTGCCCGCGTGGGTCGCCCACGATGCGCGTGCGGCGCGGTGGCCTTCCTTCCCGCGGCCTATAGTTCACCGGACGCTCCCCCACTCCAGCCCTCTCGAGGCCGGGCCTACCGCGCTCCGGCCTGGCCCAAGCTCCTGGACCGGCCGCTTCAGGGCTGCCTCTACCTCATCTCTCCCAACCGGGGCCACGGTACCGAGCCCCACCCGCCCCGACAATCCAGATTAACTCAGGCCGCAGACCCGTGAGTCCTCACCTCATGGCTGCTGCCGCAGCGACGAAAGGAAAGAACTCACTTCGGCCAGGCTCCTCCCATTATCTGTAAAGGGGAGAACCCATCCCCTGCTCCGCTTTCACCCGTATTCCCCTCTTGTCCTTTCATCTTCCGCCACCCTATAGTTATTTACATCATATGTAAGGACCAGAAATAACAGAACGGTAATATTGGGAATCGATTTAAACTTAAAAACACAGAAAATTTACCCCTTTGATAAGGCAAAGTGGTATAACCCGACTTCCTGCTAGGCATGCGCAGCAAGGGTACCTGATCACGTGGTTAATGGGATCCGGAAGTCAGTTGGATTGCGCAAGCGGCATAGGGGTTTTTACTACAGTGGCCCATTGCTTGCACGCGTCTTGTACTCCAGACGCGTTTTATTATTAGCGGGGAGGGGGGAATTACTGAATGAAGCGAAAGAGAATAATAGGGAAGATATTAGACAAAAACCACCTTTTAGTCATTCTCTCAGCAGATTGGGAGCCCTTGGAGTGCAGAATAGGTCACCAAAGACAGTAGCTTATTTTTCCACCACTCTTTTTCTTAGTCAATTAGTGCCTCAATGTTCTCCTGTGTAAAATGTATCTAATTCTAGCCCTGGCCGGTTGCTCAGCGGTTAGAGCGTCGGTCTGCGGTCCAGAGAGACCCAGGTTGGTTCCCGCTAAGGGCGCTTACCTCGGTTGCAGTTTGTCCCTGGTCCTGGTTGGTGGTGGGGGTGGCAGCCACTAGATGTGTCCCTTTCACGTCGATGTTTCTCTCTCTCTCTATCTCTCTATCTCTCTCTCTCTCTCTCCCCCTCCCACTGTATTGAACAGAAAATGGGAAAATGTCCTCAGGTGAGGATAAAAAAATAAATTAAAAAAATGTATCTAATTCTAATATTTCCAAAATCCATTTGTGAAAATCACATGAGTTAATGTTTGCAACTTGCAATGGAAGGCATTAAGACAAGCTTGACGGTGGGAACCTTTTGTTTGGCTCACACTGTACATGTAGTAAGCACTTGAGAAATAGTATATCGGCCGAGTGAATTCATAGTTATAAGTTAAAAAATTTCAAATGTCCGCACAACCCATAGTTCTTCACTCCTGTCTGGAGTACCCAATGCAAAAACCCAAAGAAAATATTCTGAGGTTCTAAAACCTAGATCTGAATGCTGGTTCCAATTTGCTTGGCTCCAGCTGATCACCCTATCTGTATCTGAATTTTCCTGTCTACTAAACGGAGCTCAGAAAGTCAAAAAGAGAGAAAGGAGCAAAATGATTGTCATCGTCATTTTACAGCTAAGTTAGGCAACAGAAATGGAAAATCCAGTTATTTCTGACTGCAAAATCCATGCTTTCTCTGTCATCCGACACTCTCTCGTGCCCAACTGGCAGAATGGGAACCCTGCTCAGGATTGGATCTGCTCATGGAACAATGCTAATGGGCTTCATCTTCACTCTCTTTTTTTTTTAAATCCTCACCTGAGGATATTTTTCTTTCATTTAAAAAAATTTTTTTTCCTTTATTGATTTTACAGAGAGGAAATGAGAGGGAGAGAGAGAGAGAAACATCATTGATGAGAGAAAACATCAACTGGCCAGTGCCTCTTGCATGCCCCCCACTGGGGATCAGGCCCACAACTCCAGCATGTGTCCTGACAGAGAATGGAACTGGTGACCTCTTGTTGCATGAGTCCATGCTCAACCACTGAGCCATAGTGGCCAGACACCTGAGGATACTTTTCCATTTATCTTTGGGTAGAGTGGGAGGGAGAGAGAGAAAGAGAGACACATCGACTGGTTGCCTCCTGCTCTACTGGACCAGGGCCAGACTGAACCACAACCCAGGTACCTGCCCTTGAGTAGAACCAACCTGCACACTTTGGTCTGCAGACCAGCGCTCTAACCATTGAACAAACTGGACAGGGTTGCATGCTCTCTTAGAGTGATGTGATCAGAGACAACTTAGGCTGGCCATCCACTTGTTGCAGAATCCAGGGTGGGCAGCTGGAATCAATGTACTCCAGTCTGCTCTCTAGCAGGCTGACCTTATATTCGGGTCACTGAACATGGGCAAATCTCCATTCTACTTCTCATCTCTTCTCTTTGTGGAACCAGGGGAAGAGGTAAATTAGGGAGGTAACAGGTCCCCTGACATGACTAACCCCTGCACAAAACCTTACAATATCTCCAAAGGCCCCAGCAATCCATCATTTAATTTCATTCTCCCTTATCCCTCCAATAATCCCAGGTGACAAAGACACCACAGTATTGGCAACCCCATTTTGCAGAAGGTGTAGTGATTTGTCCAGGGCCACAGGACCAGAAACAGCCTGAGCCAAATTGGCACTAAGGTCTCTTGCCAGAATCCCCTACTCCTTTTCTCTCCACGGATCATGGTAAGTGGGGTCCAGACTTTGGATATTTGTCCCCAAAAAAGGATGAAGGAGGAGCAATTCTAGGTCAATGGTCATTAGATTTAATTTTAGCCAGTCTCTCCTCTCAGCTCCACATTTTTTCTTCCTTTCTTCTCTCTTCCAAGGTACATGGACTTCACTCAGCCCCAATCCCGGCCTTTTGGAAGGGCCTGGGATACTAGCGACTAGGACAGAAGTACTCCTGGGTTCCCTGGATTTCTTGTTACTCTCTCTCTGTTGGTATTCCCTTTGGACACCTCCCCATTTCAGCTTCAGCTTCACGCCGGCCAGCCCCAGAGGAGGGGGAGGGGGCCTTTCTGTGTGGTTCAAGGCGACCTGGGCCCACACAGGAGAGAAAGGAGTTAAAGCCACCGGGTCCGGTAAGTTCCGGTGGCCCAAGCTGGAGGGGAATGGGGAGATCAGCTAAGAAGAGCGGTTTGGGACGCAAGGGGGGCGCGGTACCAGACATGCTAAGCCGCTTTACACATTAGCACTAGGCACCCGCTGGTAAACCGCCCCTACCCGCCCCCCCCCCTCCGCTCCCAGTTCCTAGGAGAGTTTCTACCCCCCACCGCCGCCTCCGCAGAGTGGGTCGCCTTCACTCCGGGCCAGTTAGAGGCCAGCCGGCTCCCTGCTCCGGAGCCAGGAGGGGAGTGCTTCCCTCCGGACGCCCTTCCATTGTCTGCGCGGAGCCCGCGGAGGGGCTACGAGGGGCGGGGCCGGGGCGGGCGGAGGGAGGGAGGGAGGAGGGGCGGAGGGGAGCGGAGCAGAGTGGGCGGGGGGAGATGCTGAGCCTTCAGGGGCGGAGGAGGCGGCGGCGGCAGAGGAGAGAGCGGGAGGAGGGAGGGAAGGCTGGAAGAGGGCAGCCGCAGGCCGGGCCAGGTGGCTGGATCGGGTGCTGGCTGCGCAGCGCCGCTCTCGGTTCCTACGGCCTCTCTCATGCGCTGAGGGCGCCCGGCTGGGCCGGGCCGGCGGCGGGAGGGGAGGCTCCTCTCCATGGTCCAGAAGACCAGCATGTCCCGGGGCCCTTACCCACCCTCCCAGGACATTCCCATGGAGGTCTTCGACCCCAGCCCACAGGTGAGGCGTGCTGGCGGGGCAGAGGGAAGGGGGCCGCTCCTGTGGACCCCGTGAGGTTGGCTCAGGGCCCTGGGGAGGAAGGGATTATATGCTCGGTGTGGAGGGGAGAGGGGAGTCTGCTCGCCCCCAGCCCCTGCGGGTTAATGATTGATGGGCTCTTGGCCCAGAATTGGGCTGCGGTTTTGCAGAGCCGGAGGGGTCTGTCGGACCGCCTGTCACCCCTTGCTTCCTCGGTTCCACCACGATCAGGGTCTTTGCTGCTCGGATACCGGTTCCAGTGGGTTGAGAATGGGGTTGCTGGCGGGGGCATCCGGGGGTTGAGGGACGCTTGAGAGCAAGCAAAGGGGGCGACGCAGAGCACGCTCTTGGGCGCAGGGCGGGGGTGGGTGGGGCGGGGGTGGCTTAGGAGATGGCCGAGGCGCTAGTCAGAGGGCGGCGCCAGGAGGCCTTCGGAGCCGCAGACTCTGGCCCTCGAGGGTGGGGAAGGGACCAGGCTACTATATTGACCAGCTCCTCCTTCCCAACACCCACCATATCTCTCCCTGACAATCCTGCCCCCGCCGCCCAGCCCCGAAAAATGCCTCCAAAGTTTGGAAAGTTGGATGGATGCCAACTCACTGTCCTGGAGGGGAAGAAGCTGTGTTACCTGGGGGAGGCAGTCTGCCGCCCCACCCCCCCTTACACTTAACTGCCCATGGATTGATTACTCTGAGGAAGGGACACTCTTAGGTGTGGTGGGTGCCCATGGAGTGACTAGCAAGGTCTGGGGTGGTTTCTCTGAGACATGTCCTTCTCTAATCTGGCAACACCCCAAAGCTAGGACGGCATTAACTCTTCTTGTTGTGGCCAGCCTGGAGCAACTGTAACCGCCATGATAACGTTGATGGGTATGTGAGTGTGTGGCGGGGGTCAGGTCAGACCTAAAAATACCTCCCTTCTCCACCCCAGGCCTCTTGGAGCCTGGGAGGCAGCTGACTTGGGGCCTTTCTTTCAGCTGTCTCTTGTCCCTCTGGGTGCCACTCCCTTTTCCTAGCCTGGGGCGGTGGTCTGAAAGAGCCTGTGGCTTACTGGGGAATCCTCTTAAGTTTTAGGGCTCCTCAATACTAGAGGTTGTGCATATATCTGGTTTAAAGAGGATGGGAGGGAGGATTCTGGGGTTCCCAGGTGCCCTTCGCGCCCATCTGTCCATCCTCCTTCTGGTATTCAGGCCCAAGGAACCAGAGATCCTATCTACCTTCTTTGCCCCGTAAAGAAACTCTAGGATGTAGGCTGAAGGCAGGGGTTTGGAGGGCCTGCACCCTCAATCATCACCCCCTACTCTGGACTGGCCTGGGGCCAATGTGTGTATGTGAGTTGGGGAGGGCAAAGAAGCTGCCTCTTTCCAGGAGGCAAATACCTGAATGTGTACTGCTTGAGTGGCCAGGCTGCTTGAGTGGTCAGGCACTGTCCACTCCAGGCAAATCAGGAGCCTAGTCAGTGAGACTGAGTCAGCCTACCCCAGAGGTTTGTGGGGGCTGTGTCCTAGGCTCATCTTGGGGCAGGGCCAAGGGGCATTTAGATTGATGCAGCCTGGTGGGTACCATGGGGACAGGATGTTGACAGTGGCAGCTGGGATTAGTGGGCGGGTGCTCAATCCCTCTTGTCCCTTTGGAGAGAGGTGTGACCATTGTGACTGAGGGGAGGCCTGAGAAAAAGTCCTGCCTAGGTAGGGGGTGCTGAGTTAAATCTGCCCCATGGCAGTAGGCTGGGGTTAGATGTTTACTTTCCAAACACCTTTCCACACCCCTCACCCCTCCCTGGAAATCTAGTTTTGAGTCTCCCAAGAGCTGAGAGCTGCCCCTCCTCTCCCATCTTCGAAAAAGGAAAGCAAGAATTGGGCATAAGAAAAGCCAAGCTGGGCCCCATTGGCAGTTGGCAGTTCCTCTTCTCTCTAGGGGCCACAGGCATGCTCAGCCCTGCGCTGCTCCAGCTGGTGGGGGAGAGAGAGGGAGACTTTCCCCAGGTTTCTTCAACCCCCTCCCCCAGCACTGCAGGCAGCCTCTCCCTTCCCTCGAGGCCTCCGCAGCCTGCCCAGCATCTTAATTAGCTTTGTTGTCTAATGAGCCTCCAGCTACTCAGCGCCTCCCTCTTCCCAGCCTCTCTGGCTTAAGTTTGGGGGTTTGTGTGTACTTCCTAGGGCTCTCTTGCACTGTCCTCTACCCCAGGGCTGTGGTCTGGGCCCTCCCTCACTCTCGGGCTGTACCATCTCTGGAAGAAGATGGGGAGCTGTTCACATCAGGAATGATATTTCCAAGGGTTGGCAGTAGCTCTGGGCCTGATGGGGTAAGGGTTGGGAAAGAGCCTTGCTGATTTTACTCATGTTCCTTCCTGGCTCCTCCAGAGCAAATACAGCAAGAGGAAAGGGCGGTTCAAAAGGTCGGATGGAAGCACATCCTCGGATACAACATCCAACAGCTTTGTGCGCCAGGTAATGGGGAGGCTGAGCTGAGAGGAGGGAAGTGGCCTGTTGGGGGAGCCCAGCATTGGTGAGCTGGGTCTGGGGCTTTTTCCAGGCACCCTCCCCCATGTGATTTGTCACCTGCCAGGAACCACCCATCACACTGACACCCCATGACCTCTCCTACATATACTGTCAGCTGCACCCACTCCCTCAGTCTCCGCCCAGCCCCTCCCCCAGCACCAGGCACCAACCCCTGTTGCCTGCCTGCGTCATCTCATTCAGGGACAGCCTGGCCTGCCTCCTCCTAGCTTGCTTCAGGCTGTCACCCACTCCCCCTGCCGGCTGTCTGCTTCCATGTCCTCCCCCAGAATCTGTGACAGCATGAGGTAGAGGCAAGTTCTAAGAAATGAAGAGCCAGGACATTTGAATCCCTGGAGCCCTGGTTTGGTATGGGTCAGGGAAATGTCCTCCTCACATCCAGATATGACTGTTCTTTAATATGCAAAGAGATAGTGTATTGACAGAAGTGGGGTATTGGCAGGAGGGATTTGATGTTAGAAAGGACTTTAGCCTAGTACCCCTAACTGAAGGCAGGGTCACTGAGTAGCTTCCTGGGGTCTTCTGTGGTTGGTCAGGAAGATGCCATTCTCATCTTTGTTCTAATTCTCAACCCCAGGCCATCTCAGGCTCAGGGAGAAGCATGTGGTTGCTATGACTACTGAGCATCTCAACAAAGCCTGGTACCCAAAAAAGGCAAGGGGGGCTTGGGAGATCAGATAAGGAGAAGGAGTAGCTGAAGGAGGTGGGCAGGGCACGTGAGGGCAGAGGATAGTTGGGAGGAAGGGCCCTGTGGAGGTCAAGCCCTCCCTTGGACCAGGAGAGAGAGGTTGATACCAGGCAGATCCACACAGATTGGAGTAAGGCCTTTTTTTTTTTTTTATTCCGTTTTCCACAGCACTTGGCACATGTGAGCCCAGGAAAGGGGCCCTTCATCCCAGCATCTCCTAAGTATACAAATAGGAGGTCCTTTCTTCAGTCTCTCCCTCATCCCTCTTGTTGCAGGACTGGGTTAGGAAGAATGATGTGGTGCTCTCAGTGTAACCTCTCTGGACAGAAAAAGGCCTTGGTTCCCTCAGTGTTTGGCAACCCAGGGTGTCAGACCCCAGCCTCTAATCCTTTCTCCTCCAGCTCCCTAGCTCTGACCCCCCACTAGGTGGCGGGGTGTGGGGGGACAATCCTTGCCACATCTCTGAGCTAAATATACCCTAGCAGTTTGCACATGTAGCAACTCTGCTTGTAACCTGAGCCCCCTGGGGGAACGGGCAGTTTGGGCCACCTCCTAGGCCAGCAGGGCCAGGCACTGAGGGTGCTGTGATGGAGGCGCCCAGCCGGACCCTCGTGGTGGTGAGCTGGGGATGGGGGGTGGGAGCAGCCCCTCATGGAAGCTTGTGAAGGGGGCATCGCTCCAGCCTGTTTCTTCGCCTCCTCACTGTTTTGCTGTCCCCTGCCATTCCTGATGTGTCTGTTGGGTCCGTAAGTGCCTCTCTGTCTCTGTCTCTGGGTCTGCTTCTCTGGCCCTTTGTGCATCTGCTTCCCTGACTCTGGGTGCTCCCATCAGGAGGGGTGAAGAGTGGTAGTTTCCACCCTTCTTCCTTTATGTCTCTTTTCCAGCTTCTGTTAGTGACTTCACTCCCCACTCCCAGCTTATCCCCTCACAAGGTTCCCATTTGCATGATTTGGCTGGGAAAAGAATAGACAACTGCACTAGCTAATGACCAGGGCCCTCTGGGGGAGGTGGGACTTTGTCTTCTCTCTTTCTCAGGTCTCCTCCATACCAAGCTAATGGACATTTCTAGCCAAGTGACCCTTTTATGCCCACAGGAAAAAACCCCACGTCTCTGCAGTCTTGTTCTTTCCTCATTGCAGCTCCCGCCCCTTATAGCAACAGCACCGCTTCTTAGTCACACAAATCCACACCTCCTAGCTCCTGCCCTCATGTGCTACACTCTCTCAGGGACACTGACATCTAGGGCGTCCCCCTGTATGTGCTCATGTGTACCTGTCTGTATTCAGTCATAATATCCAACACATACTATAGGGCACACCCTCCTGAACAGACTTGAAGTTGCACATCCAAGCACACCCATGAGTAAGTGTGTTCATCCATACTGCGGGCCTGGACAGGCTACTTGTGTCTTCCACACATGCCTGCATCACTGAAGGAGTTATGCTCTGGGATGGTCCGTGTGGTCAAGACTAGCTTCCTGGCATACCCCAGCTTCTGAGCCAGCCTTAGCCCTGGCAGCTGTAGCCCTAGCATTAAGGAAAGGCCTGCCCCGTGTTCTGTTCTTAACTTGCCTCTCTGCCTGCACCACCTCAGGAATCTTGGACTCCCTTTTGTATCTTATGAGAGCCTGAGGGTTGGGGCTCCCCTGATTCTTTTCATGTTGTTGTTAATCCTTGCCCCAGGATATTGTTCCATTGATTTTTAGACAGATAGAACGGAGGGAGGGAGGGAGAGAAATATTGAAGTGAGAGGCTTGTTGACTGGCTGCGTCCAGATGGCTGCCTCCCACAGGACCTCAACCCCCAACCGGGCTGAGGATCCAACCTGCAACCCAGGTACATTCCCTTGACCTTAAATTGAACCCTTGAGTTTTCTATCTAAGAGCTGACACTCTTAACACCTGAGCCAAACTGGCCAGGGTAGGGGAGGTAGGATTCTGTCTTCCCTCAACCTTAAGTACAAGACAGCAGAATTTTTGGTGGCCCCATCATGCCGAGCAGGTTGCTCACTGCCAACAGTGCAGAAAGCTCAGGACTGTGCTAGTGGCTACAGTCCCTGGAACGACCCACTGGGCTTCTGCTGAGTCTGTCTCAGCCGGTGCTGAGGGTAGGGGACAGAATGAACAGGGAGGGGAGATTTGTCCCCTGGCACTCCTCTACTTCGCTTTGCCCCTATCAGATTCCCACCCCTCCCTGGGCCCCAAGCAGCTGTCCTTGGACCTGCCTTAACCCCTGACTTGCTGCTGTCACCCTTCTTAGGGCCACACCTTCCCCGTGGGCCTGCAAGCCTCAGTCCCTGATTCCTCCCATCTAATACTACCTTCTCCTAGCCTGTGGCATCATGCTGGGCTGCCTGGGGCTGGAGGCACCCATGATGAGTGGCACCTCCATGCCTTCTGAGGCCCAGGAGCTGGGGAGGCAGTGTTGGCTCTGAGCTGGCCCTGTCTGTTTTCAGGGCTCAGCGGAGTCCTACACCAGCCGTCCATCGGACTCTGATGTGTCTCTGGAAGAAGACCGGGAAGCCTTAAGGAAGGAGGCAGAGCGCCAGGCATTAGCCCAGCTTGAGAAAGCCAAGGTGAGAAAAAAGGGCTATGCTGTCCTATTTCCCCCACCCCCAGGCTTTAGAGATGGCCTAGACAGACGCAGGGTCAAGTCTTGACCCAGCCACTTTCTAACTGGTATACCTCTGGGCCTCAATGTGCCTTTGTCTTTCACCTGGAAAATGTGGGTTATGGTACCTGCCTCCTCATACAGTGTAACATGTCTAATGCTGTTTCCACACATAGGAGGAGCTTGAGAAGTGCTAAAAATTTACACTTTGTGGAGTCAGATTTCCTGGGCTGCTTTTACTAGCTATGTGATGTTAGGCAAGTCACTTAACTTTTATGAACTTTCATTAAAATGAAGTTAATACCTGGCACACTAAACAGTAGCTTATTATTATTATTGTTATTAATCTTTTTGGGTGTCATTCTGGGCTCCCCCACCCCTAATACTTATTTTTTTTCTTTATTAATTTTTAGAGAGAGAGGAAAGGAAAGGGAGAGAGAGATACAAACATCAATGAGAGAACATTAATTGGCCGCCTCCTGCATGTCCCCCATTGGGAATTAAGCCCACTAATGCCCTGACCGGGAATCAAACCGGCGATCTTTTGGTGCATGGGTCGATGCTCAACCACTGAGCCACATCAGCTGGGCCCACTCCTAATATTTATTACTCCCCTGTGCCCCGCACCCCATGATGAGAGGGCTGAGTTCTATTTTTTGCATACTTTTTATTAGTGAAATTTAACCTATATGCAAAAAACAACATAAACCATTCAGTATACCTTTTAATGAACAATTAATTTATAGAATAAATCTCTACATAATCACCACCCCAATCAAGAAGTTGTATATTGCACAATGGTTTAACCCTCTGGCTGTCATCCTCCCTGTGTGCCTCCTCTAGACCAAGCCGGTGGCATTTGCTGTTCGGACAAATGTTGGCTACAATCCGTCTCCAGGGGATGAGGTGCCTGTGCAGGGAGTGGCCATCACCTTCGAGCCCAAGGACTTCCTGCACATCAAAGAGGTGGACAGAGCACTTGGCATCTGGAAGGAGGGCAGGGTAGTGGGTGCCAGAAGAGGGGCATTCGGAGCTATAGTGGAGAAAGACCTCTGAGCCAAGTAGAGCTGGGCTGAGTCTGCTGTGTGACCTTAGACAAGTCTCTCCACCTCTCTGAGCCTCTAAGTGTTATTAGTGAAATGGGTGGTAATGCCTAGGCCACAAGGTTGTTGGGCGGGATTGTGGTGAGGCCTGTAAAGGGAGTGGCGGTTTGCCAGGCACATGGAGGTGTCAGTGTTTACTTCTCTCCCCACCTTTGCAGGGCAGGGCAGACACACGTGGGGAGGAAAGGCTCTCAGAACAGGGATGTTCTGGGTGCAGGGTTATCTACGGCCCAAGAGGATTCTGGTCCTGGAGTTGTCCTGAAACCGGGCTGTACTCAGAGGCTAGGGTGGGGCTCTTGCAGGGTGCCACCCCCTGGGCAGGGTAGGCAAGGCCTGGGGTAGTTTCCCCTGCAGGGTGGCTGCTGACTTGTACCTCCAATCTCCCTCTTGGTCTCTCCCACCCCACCTGCCATTGTTTGCAGAAATACAATAATGACTGGTGGATCGGGCGACTGGTGAAGGAGGGCTGTGAGGTTGGCTTCATACCCAGCCCTGTCAAGCTGGACAGCCTGCGCCTGCTGCAGGAACAGAAGCTGCGCCAGAACCGCCTCAGCTCCAGGTGTCTGGCTGGGGGCGGGGCACTGCCAACCCCAGGAGAGGCCATCCGGCCAGGAATAGGCCTCAGGAGTTGACCCATTGCCTTGAGGGCACAGAGCTCTCTGTGGCCTCACCAGTGGGGCCAGAGAATCTTGGGGGCAGGGCAGCATGTGAGAGAACAAGATTCCCCCACCCTCGCACCCACCCCTTCGCTCACAGCTCCATTTGCCTCTCTGCCCACACAGCAAATCAGGTGACAATTCCAGCTCCAGTCTGGGAGACGTGGTGACTGGCACCCGCCGCCCCACACCTCCTGCCAGTGGTAAGAGCTGCTGCCTCCCCAGGGGGTCCGGGGGAGCTTCTGGGTGGGATGGTTCCCCCACTGCCTTTCCCTCCTTCCCCTGCAGTAGCGGGAACCCCAGTCCTGAGTCCTCCACATATATCCAGTGGTCCCCTCTCCATGAAGAGTAGGATACCCCATAAGCTGGGCCCATCAGCGCCCATCCTCTCATGTCTCTCCTCTCCCATTTCTTTGGTAGCTCCATCTCTCTGCCTGACTCCCCTTCCCCTCCCCCATTCATTTCTCCCAGCCCTGTTCCATTCACCTCTTCTTCTTTCTTTTTCCCCATCCCATCCCTGCGTTCTGTATTTGTGTCTCCATGTCCATCCCACTCCTCCCCACCTCGCCTCCCTCCTCCCTCTCTCCTGACTCTGCGGTCCAGGTAATGAAATGACTAACTTAGCCTTTGAACTAGACCCCCTAGAGTTAGAGGACGAGGAGGCAGAGCTTGGGGAGCATGGCGGCTCTGCCAAGACTAGTGTTAGCAGTGTCACCACCCCGCCACCCCATGGCAAACGCATCCCCTTCTTCAAGAAGGTAATTCTTGCTGGGTTCTTACATGCGGGGAGGGGGTCAGGGCCCAGATCTTTGGCAAGGGAGGGGGATGGAATGGATCCAGATGTAGCAGCCTGATCCTGTGGGGAGTCAGGGCTTCCTGCTGAGGAGGGGGGAGGGTGGGATGGCACAGAGGACAGGTATCTCTGTCTCCACACACAACCCTACCCTGGCCCATTCTACAGGAAGGGATCATCAAAGCACCCCTTCCCTTGGGTGCTCCCCCTACCAGAAGTAGGGTCTGGTGGTAAAGAAACCCAACCTTTCCCTTTACTACCAGTGGGACATCCCAAGTTTCCTCCCCACCCCCACACCTGAATGTGAAGCGGGAGTGGGGCTCTTGCCCCTAGACTCCATGGGTCTAGGGTGGGCATATCGGGGTCTCCTGCCTACTGAGCAGGATAGTTATAGGAACTCAAAATGGGCAAGTTGGCTTGTATTGGGGGTAAGAGGTAGGAATTAAATTAGGGGCTGTCCCCCTTCCCAGGCCTTTTCCAAGACCCAGAAAGAGGGTCTTGGTATGTCTGAATATTCTCAAGTCCACTGGACTGACAGTCCCGCTCCCAGCCCTGATCCAGGGCCATCTCTGGCTCCCCCTGGCATGGGGTCCCGTCCCCCCTCTGGCTCTGTCTGTCACTAACACGCATGACCTGTTATCTCTCCTCGTCTGCCCGCTCTCCCTCCCTCTCTTGCCCTGGCTCCTTCCTTGCCCTCTGCCCCTGCCTGGGTGCCCTCCCTTCTCTCCCCCCTACCCCTCTTGGCAATCTCTGGACCCAGCCAAACAGAAGCAGAAGTCGGTGAGTATCAGAGCTTTCTGTGTCCTCCTCCCCACCCCCTGGGATGAGCTAGAGGGATCTTCTAACACCCATCCCCCCCTTCCTGGTTCTCCTTGGCCATCCCTCCCCACCCTCACCCTGATCCCCACATCTGGGCTCTGGGACCAGGGGGAGGAAGGATGCATGGGGGAGCCTGGAGACTGAGGGAGAGGGGCTAATGCCATCTCCACTCTGGGGTTTCCCCTCCCTGCTTCCCCTCCAGACAGAGCATGTGCCCCCCTATGACGTGGTGCCTTCCATGAGGCCCATCATCCTGGTGGGACCGTCGCTCAAGGGCTATGAGGTAGGAGCCCATAGAGGGGCGTGGACCTAGAGGGGCCCAGACCTTCAGAGAGACTCCAGAAGTTCACACACCAGAGAGATTCCTTCAAAGGGCCCAGGTTCTCGGGTGTCCTCCCCAGAGGGCTGCAGTCCTTCAGAGAAATTTCCCAGAGGGGTCCAACAGGGAGACCCACTCAGAGGGTCCAGTTCCTCCCCAATATCCCCAGAGGAGTCCTCCCAGAGGTACCACTCAGAAGGACCTTTGGAATCTGAGAGCTCACTGGAGGCTCCTCAGACCCAGAAGAACCCCCCTACATCCAGGATCTCATTCATCTCAGGAATTTAAGAAAGTGGGATGTGAGGGTGCATCTACCCAGCAGCCCACCCTTGCTGAGTGGCTTTAAACCCCTGACTTCTGTCTCCGCCCTCAGGTTACAGACATGATGCAGAAAGCTTTGTTCGACTTCTTGAAGCATCGGTTTGATGGCAGGTAAAGACCTGGGAGCTTGCTCCCCTCTCCCACTGCGGATCTCTGCTGCTGGGGATGGGCAGGATGGCTTGAATGCTAATTCTGGGACTCTTGGACTGAGGGACAGGAGACAGGCCTGGAGCCTGGGGAGTGGGCAGGGCATTCTAGCCCACCTGACCCCTGACCCCTTTGCCCCATCCCCCAGGATCTCCATCACTCGCGTGACAGCGGACATTTCTCTAGCTAAGCGCTCAGTGCTCAACAACCCCAGCAAACACATCATCATTGAGCGCTCCAACACTCGCTCCAGCCTGGGTGAGCCCACCCCTCAGTCACCCTCTCTGGGGTCAGACGTGGGAGGGGAGGGAAGTGGGGGGGCATCTCCAGAAGGGTCCTCTCCATCTACTGCCTTTTGGGGTGCTGCCTTACATTCCTCCTTCTCTATAACTTCATGTATCCCCAGCTGAGGTTCAGAGCGAGATCGAGCGAATCTTTGAGCTGGCCCGGACCCTTCAGTTGGTTGCTCTGGACGCCGACACCATCAACCACCCGGCCCAGCTCTCCAAGACCTCACTGGCCCCCATCATTGTTTACATCAAGATCACCTCTCCCAAGGTGGGTGCAGAAGCCTGACCCCAGATGGGACAGGAACACTCAGGAGTCCAGCTGCCTGTTTAACTCCCAGCTACTGCTTACTAATTATGTAACTTAATCACCCCAGCTTTACTTTCCTTCTCTGTAAAACCCCATCACATGGATACTGTGAAGGAAGATTCAACCTAATATGAATACTTAGTACTTAGCAAAGGGGTATAATGCACCTCAGCATGTATTAGGTATTAACATTGTACAAATATTATTATCAGGGTCATGTGGGCCAGTCCCCTATCTCCGCTGTGGTTGACCTCCCATCCTTGATCCAGAGAACTGCAAGAATTCTGAGCTGCTTGTCCCAGGTGTCACCCAGCTACTTGGCGGTTGGGAGGTCTTTCCTGGCTTTTGATTTCAGCCGTTTGTTGCACTGTCCTCGTGCGGACCTTGATAGAGATGAAATCAGTAGGAAGTCTGATTTACTTCTCTGTCATTGCAGCTCCATTCGTTTTCCCTCCTAGATGTTAACGGGGGAGGAACATAGAGGGTGAGTGTAGGTGAAGATGTGGGGGTTTGAGACACGTGGAAGGTGAGTGTAGGTGAAGGATTTGAAGTTAGAAGACAGCATGGGGTTCAACTCCTAGCTCTGGCTGGCTTATTAGTTAATTCTGTTTATTTGGTTATTTTTTATTGAAAATCGAGGCCTCTAAGCCTCAGTTTCTTCACCTATAGAATAGGGATTATTGTCCCTCCCTTGAGTTATTGTTGAGAGGATTTGAGGTAATGATGTCAAGAGCCCAGAGTTCACGATGGCAACCAGGAGTAGTAACTGTCATTAGCTCATGATAGCACCTGTGAGCTGAGCACCCAGCTACTTAACCTTTCTGAGTCCTAAGTTTCTAATGAGCATAAAGGGGATGATAGGAAGTACTTCCTGGAGTGTCTGAAAGGATAAAATGAGGTAATGGATACAAAACACCTTGTGATCTAGAAAGTAAGAGGTACGTCCATTTCCCCCATGGATGAGCACTGACTGAGGTTAATGGTGGGGACTCTGAGAGTCCAGGCTGCCTGGAGTTATGGCCCAGCGCTGCCACTTACCAGCTCTGTGCTCTTTGGAAAGTTACATAACATCTCTGTGCCTCAGTTTCTCCATCTGGAAAGTAGGGATCCTCAAATGGAGGTTGCAAAGATCAAATAAAGGAATTAACCATGCAAAGTGTCCAGTACCTACTAAGCACCGTATCTTATTCTATTTTTTAAAGTTTTTTTTTTTTTATCCTCACCTGAGGACATTTTTCCATTCTTTGTTCAGATAGAGTGGGGAGGGAGAGAGAGAGAGAAACATCGACGTGAAAGGGACACATCGAGTGGTTGCCACCCGCACGACCCAACCAGGGCCGGGGACAAACAGCAACCGAGGTACATGCCCTTAGCGGGAACTGAACCCCGGTCTCTCTGGACTGCAGGCCGACGCTCTACCACTGAGCCAAACTGGCCAGGGTATTTTTTAAAGATTTTTATTTACAGAATAGCTGCAAGAATAGTTCAAAGAACTCTTATCCTTTGAATGCCCTTCAGTCTGATTCACTAATTTTTTAACAGCTTTATTGAGATATAATTCACATACCATTCAATTCAGCCATTTAAAGCACACAGTTCAATTTTTTCATATTCACTAATTTTGAACATTTTGCCATGTTTACTTTATCTTTATGTATGTATGTATTAAGTGCACAGAACCATTTGAGAGGAAGTTGTAGATACTGTATGTAGATACTGTATTTATCCCTAAATACTCCAACATGTATTTTTGAGAAGAAGGACATTAACCACAGTATAATTGTCAAATTCAAGAAGTGTTAACTAAAATACAGTCCATCTTCAGTTTTTACCAATTGTCCCAGTAATGCCTTTATGGCAGTTTCCCCCAGTCCAGGATCACATGTCACATAGCTTTTACATCTCTGTAGTATTTTTTTTTTAAATCATCACCTGAGGATACTTACCCATTTATCTTCTAATACAGTGGGAAGGAGGGAGGGGGGGGAGAGGGGGGGAAAAAGAGAGAGAGAGAGAGAAGGAAAATCATCATGTGAGAGACACATTGGTTGGCTGTCTCCCTCATGACCCCAACCAGGGCTTGGGACCAAACCCCAGCAGGTACGCGCCCTTTACTGGAATCAAACCCACGACTCTTTGGTCCCTGGGCTGAAGCTGTGACCCTTGAGCCAAACCAGCAAGGGCTCTGTAGTATTCTCTAAGCTGGCACAGTTCCTCAACCTTCCTTGGGTTTTCATGACACTGGCATTTTTGAAGAGTATAGATCACTAATTTTGCAGAATGTTCCTCATTGTGGGTTCATCTTATGTTTCCTCATGACCAGATTTAGGTTTTGCATTTTGGGTTGGAATATCACCAAAGCGATGTGTCCTTCTGAGTGCATTGCATCAGAGACATGACGATGATTTGATGCACCTTTAGTGCTGTTAACTTTTATCACTTAGTTAAGGTTATGGCTTTGTTTTAGCTATTGTTATCATTGTGTGAGAATAATAGGAGTGGCTACATAATGGGATTATTATTGGGACTAAATGAATTGGTCATGTAGAAAGGACCAAATAGTGCCAGTACATAGCAAGTGCCCCATAAGGCATGGCTGTTATTAACATGGAGGGGAAGGTGGCCTGGACAATGAAGCCTGTGAAGAAAGTTACAGGGGCTGGGCTGTATGACCGTCATACAGCCACTGTTAGGAGAACTTCCCAGGACACGTTGGCATGAGGTCTGGGAGAGAGCCTGAGCATTGTGTAGGATGGATAAGAGTTGGTGAGGTGATTTCTAAAGGTATCCAGGGCTGAGAGTCCTCGGACATCTGCCAGCCCTGGCACTGGCTCTCCACGCTGGCTTCAGCCAGGACCTGCCCCTCTGACGTGGTGCATTGCTCTTCTCCCTCCGAACCAGGTACTTCAGAGGCTCATCAAGTCTCGAGGGAAGTCTCAGTCCAAACACCTCAACGTGCAAATAGCGGCCTCGGAGAAGCTGGCGCAGTGTCCCCCTGTAAGTGCTCAGACCTAGGGGAAGGGGGGACGTTTGGATTCTGGTTTCCTCTGGCCTGCATAGGAGACAGAGTGACCAGCAACACTTGGGCTGGGTCCATAGGTACAGACTAGTCTTCCAGGAAGGAGTGCTGGACAGGAAGTCAGAGACTGGCTTCAAGAGAAGTGCTTCTGTGGGTGCTATAGAAGCGCCAGTTCTAAGCCTTGGCTGCCTTAAATCTAGAATGAGGGAGGTGGAGGGTGTGGGTGCCAAGACCTTTTATAGTTCTGCCAATGCGTATATCTGAGAACCCTCCTTCTCTTTCTGGACATCCAGAAGTCTCTTTTTAACTTTGTCCTTCAACCCCTTGACTCTCCACCCACTGTGCCCAGGCCACACCCTCACCCCCTAGGTCATGCCTGGCTCATCCTAGCCCTGCCCCTAACCCCACCTCCACAGGAAATGTTTGACATCATCCTGGATGAGAACCAATTGGAGGATGCCTGCGAGCACTTGGCGGAATACTTGGAAGCCTATTGGAAAGCCACACACCCGCCCAGCAGCACTCCACCTAACCCGCTGCTGAACCGCACCATGGCTTCTGCAGCCCTGGCTGCCAGCCCTGCCCCTGTCTCCAACCTCCAGGTACAGGTGCTCACCTCACTCAGGAGAAATCTCAGCTTCTGGGGTGGGCTGGAGGCCTCCCAGCAGGCCAGGGCGGTGCCCCAGCTGCAGGAGCACGCCATGTAGGTGCCCTCCACCCCCATCTTCCCTCCTGCCCATGGCCCAGAACTTGAGTGCAGGGAACATGGGGAAGGAAGGAAAGCTTTATTTTGTAAAAAAAAAAAAATGTGGTGAGCAGCAGCAGCTTCTGGTGTCTGTGGTTTTTGAGGGATTGGGGCTGGCTGGTGGTGTTCCTTGGGCCTGGTCCCTTAGGACTACACCCATAGGGCTGCTTGGGGGCTTTCAGGTAGGAGGCCATATTTGGGGCCCTGTAAGACAAGTAACTAGGAAGAAAACATGGGGAAGACTAATAGATTCATTCGCTGGACTCCATACCTGTTAGACCCAATAGTGGTCACAACATGGTAGACCCAACAGAGCAGGGATTCCACAGAGAAGAAGCCTTTAAACCCAGAGACTGTCCCCTCCCCTAGATCCCTAACCATAGGAGACCGCTCAGAAATATTCAGAATGTAGCATCTTCTGTGACTGATGATGAGCCTTCCATTCTTCTCCCAGTTCACCAGATTCCAGGAAAGGCCCTCCTATGGGTGCCCTGCCCTGCCTCTCCCCACTGTGGGAGCCATGGCCTGTCTCTGAGATCACATCAAGTATTTGATTCTCAATTAGAGCCAGAAGAAACCCCTTCTAAACCATTGCTTTTCAGATTTGTTCACTGAATCCTATGTGGAAGCTCAGTACATAGATAAGACATCCTTGCTCAGCTCAGCAGGAGCTAGTGGTTTGCCTCCACTTCACCTCCATGGGGACCCCTGAAGCACTTCTGTGCCCTCCCCACCCCACCGCAGATCTCCGGGCACAGTTTGGAAACTGCTGCTCTAATCTCCATCACGTCACCACACAGAAACTGGGCCACAGGAAGGGGAGTCATTTGCTTAAGGTCACACAAATTAAAGGGGCAGGACTAGGACCCAGGCCTCTTTGCATCCACCCAGCAGCCTCTGGTAGAAGTGGCCATCAGATCATCTTCATGTGGCATTTGGTGCTGAGGACATTGGGCCACCTCACATCTGTGGGGAACGGAGACCCATCAGCCTTCCCTGTTTTGCTGCTTTGAGTCTTTCCTGGGGGCAGAGGAGGAATTCCATCATTTGACTGGGAACAGGGGAGTGTGAGGTTCTGGAAGCCTCTGATTAGGGTCTGGTTTGGTCTGAGGAGCTGGGGTTAATGAAATTGAGCTGAAATCTCCTTAGTATATTTGGAAAAGGGGCAATGACTAACCCAATCAACCACTAACAAGTGGCAATACTAATGAACTGTTGATGATTTACCCCAAGACTGCACTGTGACTAATGTTCATGGGCTCTGAACCATGGTCACTGGGTGAGTTCACACCTCAGCCTTAGGAAGGTTGCCCCCCTACCCCCAACAAAGGAGCAACGCCCTGAGGTCTGGCTGGTAGGGTTCCATCCCCTAGAGCCAGCCCCCTCCCTCAGCCAGGCTGGTGCCTTCCTGCCATCACTAACCTGCCTTGCTTTGTTGTGTTTCTCTCACCCCTGCCTGATCTGCATGGTATGTGACGTCTGTCTGCTAACCAGGGACCCTACCTTGCTTCTGGGGACCAGTCGCTGGAACGGGCCACCGGGGAGCACGCCAGTGTGCACGAGTACCCGGGGGAGCTGGGCCAGCCCCCAGGCCTTTACTCCAGCAGCCACCCACCAGGCCGGGTGGGCACCGTGCGGGCACTGTCCCGCCAAGACACGTTTGATGCCGACACCTCTGGCAACCGAAATTCTGCCTACACGGAGCTTGGAGACTCGTGTGTGGACATGGAGACTGACCCCTCAGAGGGGCCAGGTCCTGGAGACCCTGCCGGGGTCAGCACCCCACCAGCTCGTCAGGGATCCTGGGAGGATGAGGAAGAAGACTATGAAGAGGAGCTGACTGACAACCGGAATCGTGGCCGGAATAAGGCCCGCTACTGCGTGGAGGGCGGGGGACCCGTGCTGGGACGCAACAAGAACGAGCTGGAGGGCTGGGGGCGGGGTGTTTACATCCGCTGAGAGGCAAGGGCCACCCTGGGAGGGGAGGTACAGCAAGCTGGTTTACCACCGGGGGTGTATCTTGCCCCCAGGGGGCGCTGTCTCCTTTCATATGCCTTTGCTCAATGTTTGGAGTTTCTTTGGTAGTAGCATCCCAGCTCCTGGGAGTCTCTTAAGCCCCAGCTGTAGGTTTTTATCTACCTGCGGTGGATGGATGGGGGATGCCCACTTTTCTGCAGTGTCCCCCTTTCCCCACCTCAGGGGTCTTTCCCCTCACTCTCCCAGAGAAAAGGTGCACTTCCTTAACTCTACTTGGGGCTCTAAAAGGGTCCTAAATGGGGTGGCCCTTTTTCCAACCTGGAGTATTTGAGAAGGAGGATAGGGGGCTTTTCCTGAAGACAGATCACAGACTTTCCCATGATGGTTCTCTTCTCAAGCTCCAGATTCAGGGTCCCTCATGCCCAACCCTTCTCCTCCCCTCTCCCCAGCTTTCTGGCAGTATTGTCTGGTAGGAGAGCTTTGGGATGGCAGCTCCTTGGGGAGGTGTCTGGGCGGAAACTGATGGGCATCAGATTTAGTGCCATCTGCATGCCCAGGACCTAACCCTAAGGAATGGGCGATCTGAGATGCTGCTCCCTCCCCCCACCTCCATTCCTCAGCCTTCACCCGCCCCAGGAATGAGCTTTGCCTACAACATCCCTTGCCTGCTGCCATCAGAAGAGGGTCCCTCCACATTTCTTTGTCGCCTGGGTATGGAGCCCGTGGAACGCTGGTTTGCCTCATTTTGAAACCAAAAACTGCTCATTCATTCTCACCCTGAAACCCCATCAGAGGCCCTTTTGGGTTGGTGCCCAAGAAATGATCACCACCCCAGGGGTAGCCTCAGGACCACGGATCTCCCCTGGGGGCTTGGTTGCTGCTGCTGCTGCTGCTGCTCTGTATTTACCTCTTGTGATCCTGTTCTTTACCCATGTCCACTCCACCCCCCCCCCAGGAGAGGCCTTCGTACCCCTCTGGCCTGGAGTGTCCCTCTGCCTAGCATTCCCGTAGCCCAGCAGCCCTGACCCTCCCCAGCATCCCAGCTGGGCCAGAGAGAGCCGATTGTGCCAATGAGGACTGGGCCCTGCCCGGCTGCCCACCTCAGGGATGGGCACCTCATGCCTGTCTCGCCACCTCCTGTGCCAATATTGTCCCACCCCTCAACCTTGGGGTGGGGTACAGCTTCCACTTACTGGTTAGAAGAGACCACTGCCCAACCTAACCCCCTCCTGTCTGGTATCCTGTACCCCCATCTGTCTGTCTGTTCGTCTTGACTCCCTTAGGAGAAGTATTTTGCCACATATAAAACCACTGTCCTGTCTTTTGTGGCAGCCTCCCAAGCCTGTTTTGTTCCCGCCACACGGTTGCTGGCCTAGGCATGTGAGAGCTGCCACCATGCAGGGGATGGAAGGGGCTTATGCAGGGAGAAGCTGTGCCTGGAGTTGTTTGCCCCACAGGATATGGGGCTGTTTTGTGGCTCTGATGCATTACATTCAAGCCTGACGGGAGCTGTGTGGCTAGTCTCAGTCCCCACCTGGCCCCAAATCCCACACTTAACCCACCTCCCCGTAAGTAGAGCCAGGGAAAATAGGAAGTTGGAGAGGAGAAATGGGTGTCCTACAGTGGGTGAGATCCAGACCCACTGGCACAATGTCTTTAAGGCTTGTGCTTGTTTTTCTACCCCTGTGGCTTGAACTGCTCCCCAACACTTCAGGAGAGGGAGAGACTGAGTTCCCAGCTTTCTCCACGGAAGCCTCCACAACTATCCACTTCCCAGCCGCTGCTAACGAACCTCGGGAGAGGGCAGAGGCACTCCCAGTCTCGGCTTCAGAGAAAGACAAAAGCAGGTGACTGCCCGTTCCTGCCATCAGCTGGCAGGATGTGGACTTCTGAAAGTTGTTCCTGCTGTCACCTGTATCCTGTCTCAGCACCTAGTTCTTGATTTTGAGGTGGTGGTGGACCTGAAGGACTAGAGCTACTGGGTCTTTAACCTGGATGTTCCTCTGTGCTGGGTATGGATGTGTGTGTGTGTGTGTGTGTGTGTGTGTGTGTGTGTTTGTGTACAGAGGGCAACAGACACTGCCCCCTGCCCCAGGAGGAGGGGGTTAGCAGACCCAAGGGAAGAGGAACTGGGCAGGCCCACAGATCAAGTAGCAGGCCCGAGGTCCGTGGGGAGGTGATGGCAAAGCTGGCACCGCTGGGACGAGTCCAGCCTTCCTCCCAGTGTAGTACTCTTTGCACTGCCTTTCGGTGCAACCCATTCCCCTGTTTAGTCACTGAACAAACATTGGTGAGCATCTGCTGTGTATGGGGCATGAGTCTAAATGGGAGCCACGGGCAATTCCGGATGGCACAATGAGCTGTCTGATGTGCGAAGCACTGGGTTCTGGGGGAACCTGGGAGAGGGGCCACTTCCTAAACGTGAGGAGACCCCGAGAAGCTTCCTGGAGGAAGTAAAGCTTGAGTGGAGAAGAGGGGGAAGGCAGAGGAAACAGGTGACATGCTGGACATGTTCTTGGACTTCACTAGCAAAGCATATTCTCAAGGTAGTAGTGGTCAGAGAAGAGTTGACAGGAGCAGGTCACCATGGGCCTTGAGTCATGTTAAGGAGGTTGGGCTTTGTCCTGAAGCTGGTGTGCAGGAATTGAAGGAATGTAAGCAGTGCTGACTAGATTGCCTTGGTTGCAGTTTGGAGCATAGATCAGAGGGTCTAACCTGGAAACCTGCGATAGTCCGGGTGAGAGATGAGAAGGACCTGCATCAGACCTCAGCAGAGGCGTGGGGAAGAAGGCCAAGGCTGTCAGAGACATCTAGCAGTTAGCATGGAGAGCAACTGGAAATGGCCAGTGAGGAGAAGGAAGGTGTCTGGGTCACAGAGAGAAAGCAGGTTAGAGGCAAAAACGATGTCTAGCTTTAGACAAGGTGGGTTTATGGTGCTGTGGGAGGACATCTAAGAGGAGGAGGAGAGAAGACAGATGAGTGCTTGGTCAGGAGCTTTGAGCTCCATCCTGTGTGGAGCCTGATATTGTGAATCAAGGGCAGGGATTATTAACTATCACTTGCAGATAAAGTGCAGAGAGATTAAGCAACTTGTCCATGGTTCCACGGCCATGGAGCAAGAACTTGGACTCAGATCTTTGGATTTCAAGGTCTGTGGTGTCCATGACTCCCAAGTCTAGGGCTGATTCCTCCTGCCCCAGGATGGCCCAGCTGTGAGGCGAGAGGGTTGGGGAGGAGAAAGCAGGTGTCTGAATGTTTCTGTCTCCTCCCCATGTGGCTTCTGCCAGAAATTGCATTCGCCCAGAACTTACAGGCAGGGGCATCTCTAGGTGGCTTGGAGATACTGAGAGATGAGGAGAGAGATTGTTGGTTCTTGGTAACCACAAGTCCTCAACTGACACAGCAGGTTGGTGGTTGTCAACATGTGAGAATGTCAACAACCATGAAGTTGGCTGGGACTAGATCCAGAGAAGCTAGTTCTACCACAGCCACCTCAGGCTCAGGAACGGAGGCGCTGGGGAACCCCTACCTGACTACCTGCTTCTGTCTTTGCAGCAGGCTTTGCACCAGAGTGAGCCTCAGTCCTTGGTATGGCTGAAGGTTTACACGGATCAAAAATAAAATGAGCTGAGCTGGGGCCACCACGGCCCAGAAGCATGGGGGTGTTCCAGTCCAATACTCTAGAGAAAAATCTTGTCTTAGATCCAATGATCACACAAAGTGTGCCTTGGTTCTCTTCTAAATCAGGCCTTCCCATCTACTGTTTCCCAGGGTTTTTTGTTTGTTTTTTGTTTTGGTGTGTGTATTTGTCTCCCGACTAGACAGTAAACTCCATAAGACCCAGACTGGGTCTATTTAGTCTACTTGGCATGTTTCCTAACTCCTGACTCATATTTGTCAAATGAATGAAATGCCCCTAAGATTCAGACTCGGCCTCACAGTGAAGGCTTGGCTTTTGTCTGTTTACTGAATATACTCCAGTGAGCAGAGTGTCACTTTCAATTCTGCATTTGGGGGCAGTGGTGGAGGAGGCAGCGTGCACGAAGAGTCCCCCCTCCCCCACACCAGGAAACAGATGGTGAAAATGCTTAACACATTGCTGCTGCCCTCAGCACCCTTCTGGGCCCTCGCCCTACTGCACTCTTCTCTTCATAAACTTCCCAGTCGTCCTCAATTCTCTTCAACTTATACTCACATGTTAAAAAAACTCCCACAACAATCCAAAACCATTTTTCAGGCTGTGACTTAACTCACTGTACTTCAGTCCAATAGCAACACATCCCTACTGTGTTCCAGGTATTGGACCCGGTGGGGAGTAGGGGATACGCCGGTGAACAAGATATGAACCCTGCCCTGTAGGACTCACAGGTCATTGGAAGAAAAAGGCGTGACACTGCAGTCTCAGTGTGGAGAGAAGCCCCGTTTCACTGGAGAACCAGGCCAGGGCTTGGGAAGCAGGTGACTTCTATGGCAGGCAGCTACTGGGTTTCTGAAAAGGGGAAATGCACAGAGAAGCAAAAGCACAGTTGGAAAGAGCTGTGCATGTGTGAGCAAGGACCAGTGGATGCAAACATGGGAGATAAGCTGCAAGGGCAGATGAGGGCTGTTCATGGAGGCTCTTGAATTTCAGGTGAGGACACTGATCTGAATCCAGTGGGCAATAGGGAACCACTGTAGGGTTATGAGCTGTGGAGTAACAGACTCTGAAAGTTAATAGGGCTGTGAAGAAGATGCTTGGGTTAGGGGAGACAGAGGGAGGGAGGCCAGTTAGAGGGTTGTTCCCTTAATGGAGAGTGCACTAATTGGCTGTAGGAGAGCAGTGGCGATGGGGTGGAAGGAGCCAATTCTTTTGTGTGATGGCTGGTGCCTCCTAACCACTCTGGCAGCCTGAGGTTGGTTGCCTTCCCCACTTCTCTTTTCATTAGCTGGTTTTTCCCAGTTTAAGAAAGGAAGGAAATTTACAAACAACAACAAGCAGCTCCCCCTACCTGTTCCTCCTCTGCTGGGTCTTAGTGTCTGGAATCCCTCTGTAGGGTCTCTGGCTGAGAGATGTCTATTTTGCTCTACCCCTGTCTTCAGATGCAGGACCCTCTGGGATCAGGGAGCTGTGTCTGAGCAGTTGGTCTGTCAGTAAATCATAGAAGTAGCACTGATTTATTCCTAGAAGTTGCCTATCACCAAGGGACCTGCAAAAGGAGGGAGACCTTGCCCTTCCCCAAGAGAACTCACTTTGGTAGGCCTACATGAGCCACACAAGTGAACAACTAGAGATATATTGAGGGTCAGAATATTCTCTGAGCTCAGAGAGAGAGAGGATCAGTGGGCCCTGTCTACCCCACACAGCTGGTAGGTGCAACAGGTATGAATGGCCAAGGATTTTGATTTAGCCTGGTGCCCCTTGCAGAAGGGAGAGCTGGGATCTGGTCACAGGATACTGTACTGAGTCTCCTGAATTTGTAGTGGGGGAGCAGTCCACCCAGAGAACTCTGGTCTTCTCAGGGGGAGGGGGAGGATGTGGAGTCTGGACTCCATTTCCCTTGCACCTCCAGTGCTCTGGACAGGTAGTTTGTTGTCACCATGACATCCATAGCGCCCCTGAGGGGTCAGCGTCCCAAGGAATTCCCAGGCTCATAGGACACTCTTGAGGCTTCGGTGACCTCATCGACCCAGCCCGGCCCACCCCCGGGGGCGGGGCTCTAAGAACCAGGGCTCGACTCGGGCCCCCGAAGGCCACGGAGTACTGCTCCTGCCTGGCCCAGGACCCGTCATGGGGCAACTGATGGCCAAGTTGATGGGCATCTTTGGGAAACAGGGTAAGGGGCGCACAGGGCATCCAAGCGACCTCTTTGATCCGGCTTCCACCCAGGGATCCCGGGATTGGGGTCGTCCGGGGGGATGCGTTTGGGAACCTAGGACTGGGAGGGTCCTGCGTGGGCGCTCCTTGCCAGCTGCCCAGCCTCCCTTGCCCCTTCCCCGCCGGCTCCTCGCAGGTCGCCGGCTTCGGTGCGCTGCAGGGCGCAGGGCTGGGCGAGCCTCCTTGCTCGGGGTAGACGCCGCCGCCGGTTTCCTGCGAAGTGACTTTGCGCTCGGCTCTTTCCCAGACCCGTTCTCTTGACAAGCCCCGAGCTCCCCCGACCCTTCGGACAGTCACTTTTCTGGAAATGTGGAGCGAGGGAGGTGGGGCTGAGCTCTCATTTCCACTGTTCGGGAGTGGCGCAGGTGTCCGGGGTCCGGTGGGAAAGAAGCCTGCCCTGTTGGTTCGCTTTTCTTTCTTTTTTCTTTTTGGTGGGAGATGGGGTGGGGCGGTGGGGAAGCAGACGTGGTACCATGGGAAAGGTCCCTCGGCCTGCTGGGAACACTTGTCTCCTTCGTGGGAGGCCTAGTGGGTCACACAGTCCCTCGATCATCGCGTTTGGCCCTGACCTTGCCCTTCCCCCGGATGCCTCCAGAGCACAAGGTTATCATCGTGGGACTGGACAATGCAGGAAAGTCCACCATTCTCTACCAGTTGTAAGTGACTCCGAGGGGTGAGGGGAAGGGTCTGTGCTTTCCCACCAGACTGACAAACATTTGGACCAATCACCGGAGCCCTTTCCTGGGTTCCCGGGAGGAGTGTTGTGGGGAACGCTAGTGGGACCTTCCTGGTGTAGTGGCCCCTCACTCAGTTCAGTAGCCCCTCGGTCTGGCATTCGAATGCTGCTCGGTGTGGGCAACTCCACAGCGCCCCACCATCTACCCCCGGCCCTGCCAAACCGGGTTGCAGGCTGACTCTGTTGGGCAGGCAGGTTCTTCCCGTCTCCCTGCTCTTTGCTACCCCCTAGCGGCAGGTTCCTTTTTAACTTCTGCGCTCCACCTCTGCGTTTTTCTCCTGCAAACACAACTGGGAGGGCCAGCTTTGGGTCCGCAAGGCTCTGTAGCTCCTGGTTTCGCAGAGTCTGGCACATGTGCTAAGTACCCATCAGAGTTTTCCCCGAAGTTCACTCCTTGGATGGCATTTCTCCCGTTCTGGAGCCTCCAGAGTGTTTACTTAGGACAAAATTTCTGAAAAAGTGACCTATGTAAGTGGTTTTTAAAAGTTAAAAGAAAAATCCAAACAGTGTAAGAGTACACAGTGAAAAGTGCGTTTCTCTCTCACCTCTAACTCCCAGTTTTACTTCCCAGACAGACCTTCCAGAGGAATTCCTCACATATTAAAAGGGTGTGTGTTTCCTATGTCACTATAAACAGAGCACCTTTCTGATGGCCCTCACTTGGGTCTGTCTCCTTTTTCTAATCCCTTGCTATTCAAAGTATGGGCCACGACCAGCAGCACTGGCATCATCTGGAAACTTGTTAGAAGTGCAAAACGCTGGGCCCCACCCCAGACCCACTGGATCCGAATCTGCATTTTAACAAGACTCCCAGGTGATTCAACTGCACATTAAAGCTTGGGGAGACTGCTTTATTAAGTCTCCCCTCTCTGGGGTCCAAGCCAGGGCAGGACTTGGTCTCACTCTTGTCTGCATTCCCCTGTGCTCAGCAGAGGCGTGGTCAGCCTGGATTGATATCTTCTCAATTAGATTCAGCCTGATTTGGGAGTAGAGGGGTAGGAGGGCAGAGCTGGGAGGGGGCTGGGCTGATCTCTTGGTGCCCTCTCCTACCTCCCCAGCCTGATGAATGAGGTGGTCCATACGTGTCCCACCATCGGTAGCAATGTGGAGGAGATTGTTCTGCGAAAGACCCACTTCCTCATGTGGGACATAGGGGGACAAGAGGCTCTGCGCTCCACCTGGAATACATACTACTCCAACACCGAGGTGAGGTGGGCACTGGGGTTGGAGGAGCTTTGTGATATTAGCCAGCTACTTAACCTCTCTGAGCCTTGGTTCCCTCACTTGTGAGATGGAGATCATAATAATAACCTCCCTGAGTTGTTATGAAAATTAAATAATAGAACAATAGCTAATGCATGTGTGTCAAATACTTACATAGCACAGTACCGGTTAAAATGTTTGAATATTCCCTAGAAGCTCTGCTTGCTGGCAGCCTTCCGTTTGATGCATTGGATGGGGTAGACCCTTTGTCTCAGGAGGTTTTAGTTACTCACTCTGGAAGCAGTAGAATTTAGTAGTTTAATTCCTGGAATGAGACAGCCGCGTTCAAATTCCAGCACTGCCACTCACCTGTTGTGTGGCTGAGGGCCAGATACGGCACCTCGTTGAAGTGCAGTCTCCTCATTTGTAAATGGGGATCATAATACAGTTGGCCCTTGAACAACATGGGTTTGAACTGCCCGGGTCCACTTACATGTGGATTTTTTCAATATATATAAAATTGGTCTTCTGTGTTTCCGGGGTTTGCACCTGCTGATTTAACCAACTGTGGATCAAAAACAGTATTTTTGATCCATGGTTGGGAAGCCACAAGCATTGAGGGCCAACTGTATGCATTGGTCTATGCCATTTTATATAAGGGACTTGAACATCCATAGATTTTGGTATCTGTAAGGGCCCTGGAACCAGTCCCCAGCGGATACCAAGAGAGGACTGAAGTTTTGGGGAGAAGTCAAAGGTTATACATGGATTTTCAACTGTGTGGGAATTGGTTGCCCTTATCCCTCACGTTGTTCAAGGGTCAACTGCAGTTTCAGTTCCAAAGGGCTGTGGTGAGGCCCAGACGGAGTCATGAACGCCCAGGGCATAGCATAGCCCCTGGCATGAAATTTGAGGTTGTGCTGTGTACTCCCGGTGTCTGGTTGGAAAAGGGAATAAAACAGTACTAGGACAAAAAATAAATATATTTAAGAAAAACAACAAAGAATGGGATGGGCATGCAGGAGGCAGCTGATTGATGTTTCTCTCTTATATCGATGTTTTTATCTCTCTCTCCATTTCTTTCTCTCTAAAAATATCAATAAAACCATATTTTATTTTATTTTTTTCAAAATAAAAAAGCTATTCATTATTTTAAATTTATTTTTTATTTATTAATTTGTTTTTGTTACAGATGTTTCTCATTTTTCCCCCATTGACACCCTCCTCCCCTTTCCCCCCACCCCATCCCCAGCTTTGTTGTCTATGTTCATTGGTCATGCATACATGCATGTAAGTTCTGTGGTTTGTCTCTCCCCCCCTCCCCGCAACCCCCTCTCCTCTGAGACTTATCAGTCTGCACCCCACCTCTATGTCTCTGGGTTAATTTTGTTCAGCAGTTTGTTTAGTTCATTATATTCCACAAATAAGTGAGATCATGTGATATTTGTCTTTCTCTGCTTGGCTTGTTTCGCTTAGCATAATACTCTCCAGGTCCTTCCATGTCATCTCAAAGGATAAGAGATCTTTCTTTCTTACAGCTGCATAGTATTCCATTGTATACATGTACTACAGCTTTTTAACCCACTCATCTACTGATGGACACTTGGGCTGTTTCCAGATCTTAGCTATTGTAAATAGTGCTGCTACAAACATAGGGGTACATATATTCTTTCTGATTGTGTTTCAGGTTTCTTTTTTTTTTAATTTATTTTTTATTAATTTGTTTTTGTTACAGATGTTTCTCATTTTTCCCCCATTGACACCCTCCTCCCATTTCACCCCTGCCCCATCCCCAGCTTTGTTGTCTATGTTCATTGGTCATGCATACAAAACCATATTTAAAAAAATGGGACTAGGGCAGTGAGATCTTGAGACTGGACAGTTTGTTTTCTGTGGGACTCACATCAGGGTTGTGCAGAGGCCAGTGGGGAGCACAGTTGGGAGAAGGTACCTTCACCAAAGAGAAGGCCCTCCACTCATGGTTCCCCTCTGCTGGCCAGTTCATCATCCTTGTGATTGACAGCACAGACCGGGATCGGCTGCTGACCACTCGGGTGGAGCTGTATAAGATGCTGGCCCATGAGGTAAGCCCCCTGTGGTTGGGAGAGGGCCCAATGTGCTAGCTGTTTGACCTCAGTTTACTCATTTAGCCTCTCTGAGCTTCATTCCTGATGACTCAGTCTGCAAGAGCCCCTAGCTCAGCAGCTTGGGCAGGGCTAGTTTATCTTAGACGAAGGACAATAATACCCTCAGCATAGTTGATCACAGAAGGCAAAGTTGCTGGTTCAGGTCCTGACACCACTTCCCACTCACTGTGGGACCCCAGACAAATCATTTTACCTCTCTAATTCTGTTTCCCTAACTAAAATTGGGGAGAATCATCAAATTCCTATGTCATGGGACTGTCTTAAAGGTTATATGAGCTGGTTTAGAGGCATCTATGAGCTGTCGGTGTCATTTACTGGGGTTGTTATGTTGGGACAGGGCCCCCATCCCTATCCCACTTGGGCATGGGCCTCTCTTGCAGGGACAGCAGGGGAACCAGGGGACACTCATGGGGTACTGGGAAGGGAGGCTGGGCCCTGACAGGCTGACTCCTCTGTCCACAGGCTCTGCAAGATGCTTCCGTCCTGATCTTTGCCAACAAGCAGGACATGAAGGACTCCATGACCACTGTGGAGATCTCCCAATTCCTCACCCTTAGTGCCATCAAAGATCACCCGTGGCACATACAGGGCTGCTGTGCCCTCACCGGGGAAGGGTTAGTGGCTGTCCCACCGGGACCTCCAGGGCCTGGCCAAACCAATGAACGACTGACCATCAGAACATTCTCCTGCCTCTCCTGTCAGAATCTGGTTCACAGTTAGTCGAGTCAGTTGAGCATGTTTCCACAGTAGAGATGTGCAGGCAGAGAGCGAGAGAGTCCCTGCTCGCAAGGGGCTCCTTCTAGTCGGGGAGAGAGGTGGCAACCCACCGAAACACAATCCTTTGAGGTGCTCATAAGTGCTATGAAGAAAGTGAAATTGGATCACAGTGACAGAGGGGTGGGGATGGGTCTGGTTTAGCTCGGTGGTCAGGGACAGCCTCTACTAGGAGATGTCTGAGCTGAGACAAATGAAGAGGAGATAGCTGTTGGAAAACCCGGGCAAGCCTTCCAGGCAGAAATCACTGACTCCTTCTACCTTTGACTTTCCTGATCTGTAAGAGGAGGAGGGTGAGTAAATCTACTCCCTTCCAGAGTTTCTGTAGAGAGTAAATGATATCGTTCACTCCACATTTATTAAGCACCTACTTGTGCCAGACACTGTTCTAAGCACTGGAGAAACAACAGTGAACAAAAAAGACAAAAATACCTGCCCTCATGGAGCTTACTTTCCAGTGGGGGGAAACAGACAATTAACAATTAAAATAAAAAAATATATAGTAAGTTAGTTTGACCGGTGTAGCTCAGTGGTTGAGCATCCACCCATGTACCAAGAGGTCATTGGTTCGATTCCCAGTCAGGGCACATGCCCAGGTTGTGGGCCAGATCCCCTGTGGGGGGCATGCAGGAGGCAGCCAGTCGATGTTCTCTCTCATCGATGTTTCTCTCTCTCTCCTTCTCACTTCCTCTCTCTCTAATAAAGGAAAAAATATATATATATATATAGTAAGTTAAAAAATGCTAAGTGCTCAGGGGAAAAGTTAGTTAGGAAGGAAGATTGGAAGAACATGGTGGGGGTGGGGGATGTTGCAATTTTAGATAAGCTATCCAGGGAGGGAGTGCTGAGAAGGTAGGCACTGGGGGCACACACCTGAGGAATGCGAAGGAGCTAGGCCAGGGTCACAGAGAAAGGACCTTGTACCAGGTCTGGAGAGTTCCCTTTCCTCTTCCTTCTCAGGTGGAGTCACAGCAGGCTGAGGACCTAGATCCTGGTTAAAGAAGGGGAGGCTTTAGGCAGGTCAGCCCAAGGAACCACACATTTCTGGTAGTGTCTCGCTACCCCCTGGGTCAAGAGGGCCCTCCTCTTCCCCAACCCAGTCAGTTCAGTTCAACCAGCATTCCTAAGTACCCCATGTTCCATGCACTGTACCCGGTGATACAGACATGACCAAGACCCCTCTATCCCCACCCCTTGCTCTGGCGTTGCTAACAGTCTAATGGGAGAACTTGCTTATGGGGCCTCTTCCCAGGCCTTTGAAGTCACCCTGCACTGCCTCCTGTGATGGAGTGGGTGGGAAGGGGGCATTAGAGATTTGTCCAGAGACATTGCTAAGGTAGGTCTGCAGACCCCTTCCTTAGAGAAGCCCCCTCCTGGTTCCCAGACATCCAGAGGTCTCTGTACATCTTCCTAACCTTTATTACAGTAGGTAGTTATGAAATTATTTGATCATGTGTTTAATATCCATCTCCTCTGCTGGAGTAAGCCCCAGAGGGCGTGTCTGTTTTTATCACCAGTAACCACAGTGCCTACGTACTCAGGCTGTTTATTTTATTGGTGGAAAGATTGGATGTAACTTCAGTTGTTTCCTCATTTGGCTTTGGGCAGGGGCTAGGGGCTTGAAGGCCATCGTCCTCATGGGATATGCTGATCCTTGCCTGTTCCTCCCTTCCTGCAGGCTGCTCGCTGGGCTTCAGTGGATGCAATCTCGGGCCACAGCCAACTGACGTCCTAGCCTATGGCCAACCAGAAACTTTGGGGTTTTGCATGGACTACGTGGGTGGAAACCCCACGTGACTATTACTTGTCTACGATTCTCTGGTGGGAGCACAGGCAGCTATGGACAGTGAGATTACTACTGCTCACCCAACTCCCCACAGAGGAGCTACACTGTGTAACCTGAATTGCTGCAGACAGGACAGCAGGAAATGCTGCCCCTCACTTCACAAAAGCAGGTGTCCTTGGAGACACCAGGGGTATGTTGAAAGTGAAAGTGGAGCCTCCTCCCCTCAGCTCTCAACCTCTCTGTAGGAAAAATGGAGGAGCAGAGTAAGAGACTCCTTTCTTTCCTAGAACCCCATCCCTATCTCCCTTACCCCACCCCAGCTTTCTGGCCCTTCAGCCATTTTTTGGGCAAAGAATATTCTAGAAAGGTGATGGGGGTGGGCTCCGGGGACCGAGGGCAGACTCAAAAGCTGGGAGGGGAGAGGGAGTGGGACAGAGCATCCAAGGAACAGTCGTTGGCACTGCAGGGAGTTCCACTCCTCCCTCCACCTTCCCACTCCCTCTGAGATGCTGGCTCTGACCACAGCTTTTGAGCTTTAGGCCACCCCACCTATGCCCTTCGTTCCCAGTGTCCTTCCAGTGTAAATCCCACTCTTGCCAAATGACCTAGGCTCCTACAGTATCTGCTTATCTTGTCTGTTTCTCTGTAATAATTTTATTTCACGTTGTATCAGGTTTTTTTATTTTATTTTAATTTTTATTTATAAAGATGTAATAAATGTCATTGAAAAGTACTCACCTCTTATTTTTGCCTGTTGGAGTAGGGGTCTTTAGGGGTTATTAAGGCCAGGAATCCTATCTAGGTCGAGCTGGAGACAGGATGGAAACCCAGGCTGCCCTGTACACAGGGAGCAGTGTTATTACCCCAGAAGACATGGGATGGTCTTGGGGTCACTTAGTCTCTCTCCTTGCCAAGTCAGGAAGTGGATATCTTGGCGAGTCAACAGAGATACAAAGGGCCCAGGATTCTTTACCCCTGTGGTCTTCTTGAGGAATGATTGTGAACGAAGAACTCAGGAATTCTAGCAGCCCCTATTCAGATTCTGTTTTTTTCTTTTTTCATTAGGTTTTTCTGGCACAGCCCTCAGATAATAACACAAATTGACACCATTGCCTTTATCTATGAAAACTTATCTCAACAAGAAAGCAACCCACCAACAGCGAGGTGGGGGTATAGCTCAGTGGTAGAGCATTTGACTGCAGATCAAGAGGTCCCCGGTTCAAATCCGGGTGCCCCCTCTTCAAGCCCAGGCTTTTCCAGTTTTCTTAGTCCTGCGGTCCATCTCTGTAAGTTCCCTTACAGATGACGGGAGATACTTCCTTGGGTCCTGCCAACCTATTTTGAGTCAGTGAAGGTGGAGACCCAGCCTCTGTCCAATTCACAAGCTCGAAGAATGGAATGTATTGCGAGGAAGGACTTGGACCTTCGGGTTGACCTATTCGGACTGTACATACGGCCCACTCCCCTAGGTGGCTCTCAGGGTGGCCTGGCCAGTGACCTGAGGTTAGTTCTCGGGGAGGGAGGCTGACTTTCTAAGAGCGAAGCTTGGGTTGGGGAAAGAAGGCCCAGAAAAGTCCGCGTAACAGCGTAGGAAGAAGAGAATGGCACTTAAGCATTAGTAACGGGGCTATAGCAGGGCAAAAAGAAGGGGAATCCGGCCCAAAGAAATGCCCGGAAGTAAAAGATCTCGAAGGATCTGGAGGGACTTACCCTCCCACGTCCCCAAATTTCATTTTTCTTACACCGTCATTAGAAGCCAGAAAACAAGCCCTGCATTCAGATGTGCAATCGCTCGAAACGTATATCCTTTCCCTCTGTTGTAAACCTTAGATTCTGCTTCCTTGCAGTTCCTCGCGGAGCCTGTGTAGAAGCAGCGCTAAGAGGCTTTCCATGCAGGAAGCACCAGCGGAGGGGGTATAGCTCAGTGGTAGAGCATTTGACTGCAGATCAAGAGGTCCCCGGTTCAAATCCGGGTGCCCCCTGCCTTGTCATTTTTAAGGCCTCACCTCCGGAGCCTGGACAAATTTCTTTACAGCGCGTCCTTTTTTTCTTCTACAATTGTATGCTGATATTGCCTTCGTCACCTCTTTTTGGCAGACGAGAAACGGTGAGAGAGCGAGCAAGAATCAAGAATTCCTCAGCAGTGGCTCTCAACCATAGTCCTGGGGACCAGCACCACCACCTGGGCACATGTTAGTAATGCAGGCTCTCCGTCTCATCCCAGAACTACTGAATTAGAAACTTGGAGGTGGTGCCCAGAAATCTGTTTTTTAATTAGTCCTTCAGGTGTGTCTAATGTACACTCAAGTCCCAGAGATTTACATTAAAAAAATGTACACGTCACTTTCTTCTAATTATTTCCAAATTGCTGTTTCAACCTGAACCTTTGTAGAAGATCGTATAAGACAGACTGTGAGGCACCCCGAGCTGGGGAATGTACAAAGAGACCCGGGACGGAGCCGCAGTCCTGTCCTAAGACCTCCCAACTTGAGCCCCCAGAAGGTACGGGCGAGGAGATGTGAATCAGTTGGGTCAGAGCCGGAGTGAATGGACAGCGTCTGGGCAGGTTCGGGAAAGTGAGGGAAACCGCAAAACACGCGCGTTGTGGATCGTCACGTGGCCACTAGAGGGCAGCCAGAAGCCGCAGCTGGAAGCAGCAGCCTATTCGATCCTCTTTGAGAGTCTGTAAAATCGGGATTTAAATTAGACAAGAAGAATTTACAGACAGGCCTCGTCTCGTTCCTCGTAAGGAAACAGAGGGTTTAGGACTGGAGGAGTTCGTTTCCGGGACCCTGGATCCTGAGGAAGTTGGAACTAGGATTCCGAGAAATTAGAGTCTTGGGTTCTTTCATTGCAGCTCATACTGTTCCTTCTCTTGTCCCTACGCAAGTCCCTCCCCCTGGGGAATCCCCCAAATGACGCTCAGCGTGCATACCCCTCTCCTCGATTTTCCAGTTCCTAGGCCCCAGACCCGCGGAAGCCAGGTTGCCCCCCACGCCTCACTCGCCCATCCTCCAGCGCTCCAACTCCTTGCTGTCGCACGAACTAGGTCAGGGGCGGGAAGAGGCACCTCCGAGTCCTGACCTGATTCCCTGCCGTCTATTAAATCTAAATTGCGGGTATTTTTATTCTGTCCTGGAAGGGAAAAAAAAAAATCTATCCCCAGAGCCTGTTATGTGGTAGTGGCAGGGAGGTGCACTGTCTTCTTGCTCTGGGGCTGGCTTTGAAGATTGACTGGGTCCTGAGCAGGCCTGGGGTCCCCAGAGAAGAGTGACCTGGGTTACCTTCGGGGGGTGGGGACAGGTCCAATTTTTTTTTAAAGCAAAGGTGAGCCAGGCTACCTCCACCTCCAAGTCTGTTAGGCTGGGGGGCAACATTGTGCTGGAAATGGGGGGTTGCGCGGTGAAGAGGAGAGGGGCCCTGGGAGGGGTGGAATTCACGCATCTGCTGGGGAGAGGAGCCGGGGTCTTTGCTGCAAGGAGATTCCACAGAACTCTGAGGAACAGCCCAGAAAGTCGGGAAACCTGATGGAGCGGGAGGCGGGCAGGAGCCCAGGACTCAGGAAGGGGCGCCAGTCCCTTCCTTGGGTCTTGTCACCCGGATCTTCTCTCTGCTGCTTTTCCCGGGGGAGTGGAGGAAGGGAAGGGTGGCAGGAACTAAGGTGAGGTGTTGAGGGAGGCAGCTGATGCTCCTCGGGGGTTCTCTCAGTCCAAGGGTCCGCCGCCCCGTCCGCCTCCTCCGCCCCTCCCCCGACCCCCTCCTCCCCCGCCTTGGGAGCGGCTGCGGGAGCTCTCGGGAAGGGCCGGGGAAGACTGGGGAGAGCTCGGGAGGCGCCGCGCCCCCCGCCCCGCCCCCTCCGGGTCCGGCTCCCGGCTCCCGGCCGCCGCCGCTCTGCTCGCTCCCCGCCCGCTCGCGCGCTCGCCGCTCCGCTCCTGTCGGGCCCCGCGCCCCGCTGCCGCCTCGCCGCCAGCCCTCCGCCCGCTAGCCTCGGGGACCGCGCCGCAGAGCCGGGCTTCCTCCCTCGGCAGCCGCGGGCCGGGGGCGGGTCCTGGCGCCCACCATGCGGGGAGAGCTCTGGCTCCTGCTGCTGGTGCTCAGGGAGGCTGCCCGAGCGCTGAGCCCCCAGCCCGGAGCAGGTAGGACGGGCCGGAGTTGGCCGGGTGGGCCGGGGGCGGGAAGGGGCCAGGTAGGCAGGCGTGGGCATGGGCAGGTACCAGCCGGCTGGTGAGGTCGGGGGTGGGTGGGGGGTTGGGGAGTATTGTCAGCGGGAGGTCAGGAGCCTTGTGGGCTGTGGCAGGTGGACAGGGACCCCACTTTCCTAAACACATAGGTGTGTGAGTGAGAGCGCAGGCATCAAATATTGCCTTCCTGGAAGGACAACAGAGGTTCCCTTGCAGAGGGGCCTCCATAAGGCAGTGGGCTGTGGTCGCAAAGGGGACAGTGGAGGGGGGGTCATAGGGACCCCTGGCCACACGGGGCAAGGCTGAATTCTGATGAACTGGGGAGTCTGCCAAGCTTTGCTTCCTTCTCTCTCTTCCCTACCCCCAAGCTGACTCAGGTTGGGTCTGAGTCGGATTTGGGGCTGAGTGGGAGCAGCCAGGGGAATGGTGGAGACTCAGCATTTCTCCCAGAGGAAGGGTAGTGATGGCCTGGGACTGAAGCCTTCCTCTCTCTGTCTGGTACCTGGAGAGCAGCCCTGGGCTCAGGAAGAAGCGGCTTGCTGCTCCTCTATCCCCAGCCTCTGGGGTCCTCCTGTCACTCCTGCTCTGCTCTACCCTGTGGCCTTTGGCTGTTAGCTGCTCTGGCTCTAGATAGGAGGTGGGGGTGGAGGCTCCTGTCTGCACACTCCTCTTCCCCTACACCACTTTCCCACAAACATCTCTCCCATGGATGTCCTTTCTGAGATCTACCATGACTCTCTCATGTTATGAAAGAACCATTTTTCAACAGGTAATTTTAGATTCTCCTCCTGCACCCAGACCTTCTCTTGGGTTGGGGGGTTGGGTAATTTGCAGTAAAGACTCTTGACCGAGAGAAGAAGGAAGATAGAGAGCTCTATGCCTCACTGGCATAGGAGTCCCTCAGATGGGACAGAGCAGTGAGTGAGTGAGTGAGTGAGTGAGTGAGTGCATGCGTGCGTGTGCGTGTGTGTGCGTGTGTGTGTGTGTGTGTAGGGGGATGCTATAGTTGGGTTGCTTGTTCTCAGGGGTATGCTAACATCAGGCACAGTGACAGTGACAGCATTCTTGACTTTAATGGTCCCTGTATGTAGCTGATGAAGGCCTGGAACCCTGTTGAGAAGGAGGGTGGGGAAGGGTGCTGATGGAGAGATGTGGGCCGAGAGCAGTGGAAGCTGATGTGGCAAGAGGCTGCTGGTGCAGAGCCACCAGTTTCAGGGAGACCACACAAAGAGTGGCCAGGAACTTGGCTTCTATTCCCAGCATCTCACTTGCTGGGTGACCTTGAGCAAGTTATTTTCCTTCTCTGGGTCTGTTGTCTTATTATATAATGAGGCTGTGGGCAAAATATTTGACTCTTGGTGGTGGGATTATGAGAGATCTTTTTTTTTTCTTTTCTTTTTATTATTGTCTTCCCTTTTTTTCTTTCTTTTTTTAATCCTCACCGGAGGACGTTTTCCCATATTTTGTTCAGATAGAGTGGGAGTGAGGGAGGGAGGGGGAGAGAGAGAGAGAGAGAGAGAGAGAGAGAGAGAGAGAGAGAGAGAGAGAAACATCGATGTGAAAGGGACACATCGAGTGGCTGCCACCCGCAAGACCCAACCAGGGCCGGGGACAAACTGCAACCAAGGTATGTGCCCTTAGTGGGAACCGAACCCCGGTCTCTTTGGACCGCAAGCCGATGCTCTAACCACTGAACCAAAGCGGTCAGGGTTTCCCTTTTCTTTTTTTTTTTTATCCTCACCCGGGGACATTTTTCCATTTTTTGTTCAGATAGAGCGGGAGGGAGAGAGAGGAAGAGAGAGAGAGAGAGAAACATCAACGTGAGAGAGACACATCAGTGGTTGCCACCCACACGACCCCAACCGGGGCCGGGGACAAACTGCAACTGAGGTACATGCCCTTAGCGGGAACTGAACCTGGGTCTCTCGGGGCGCAGGCCGACGCTCTGACCGCTGAGCCAAACCGGCCAGGGCTCCCTTTTCTTATTTGCTATGATATGTATGGGTGATTGATAATTTAAAAAACAAAACAAACCCAATATAAAAAGGAAGAAGTTGGACCTCAATATTTGAGGTTATTTGTAGCCCCAACGTGGGATCTTCTGAACTTAGGATGTGACAGCGTTGATGAGGGTGGGCTCTGAACCCCTACAGAATTGGAAGAACCATGGAGAGGTTTAGGAAAGGGAGTTGGGGGCTAACAGGGATGTGCTGGAGGATCGTGGCCAGACTCAGGCCTGGCTGAAGGCCGTCTCTTCAGATTGGGTTGAGGTGGTGCCACCTGGGGAGGCTAAGAAGAGCATGGCAGGCAGAGACTTGAACCACGTCTCTAAGTAGAAGACACCGTCTTCTCGGTTTTGACAGCGATTCAGCCTATCAAATGGACTTTCTCTGCAGCAGGAGAGACTGGTTAGACCTAAGGAAGCTTCCTGAAGCCAGAGGGGCTAGCCGTTGACTCTGTTTAGTACTTTTTCACAAGGCCAGGCTGGATTGGACAGAGGGGCTGAATGGAGGCAGGGGGTATCTTTGGGAGAGGACAGGGGTGGGGGTGGGACATTCTGGGGGGGGGGCACTAAGGAGGGGCAGCCTAGCTTTGATGGGTTGAGTCCTTACAACTAGTGAAAGGGCAGCTGGGAGCTGGGCCTGAGGAGTTCTGCCCTTGAGTCACCTGGGCTGGGTGGAGGATGGCTCAGGAGGGAGCTGAGATCTCCCGTCCAGGGTGTACTGGCCGCCATAACAAGGTATCTTCAGACCGAAAGACAAAACTGGCAACTCCATAGAATAGAAGAGAATTTATTATAAGGTAACTTAATTACGGGAAGACTAGGCCTAAGTGGACAGACGGCCCAGCAGTTTTGCACAAATTTTTCTCTGCTAACAGACCCCTGTTGCCGTACTTTTTAAATAGTATAATGTGGGTATGAAGGACTGACAGAACAAAGGGACAAAGAATGCAGTGTCGCCAGGGGCCATACCTCCTGGTGGTCTTGTGATAGAAAAATTGTTTATAATCAATATCACCTGTTTGATATTGACCTCAGTTATCATGCCATTCCAACTGTTACTAAGGAAATATTTATGGCTACACTTTAAGGAACTCAGATAATCATGCTTGCTAAGGACTGTGAAGTTGGTCAAAGGGCATAGCATGAAACTCACACCTCTGGGACAGAGAGAGGGAGTTAGTTTGGTTTAAATCTACATCTGTACATCTCTCCCTCTTGATGAATTGGCATGCTTGGTGGAGCTTTGAAATTTATTCATCAATAGGATGGGAGCAAGAGAAAGAAAATGAATGATCTGAAGATCTATCAGTTAGAGGGGCAGACCAGGAGAGGCTGACAGATAGATGGACAGACAGAAAGATGGCCTTGGGAAGGCCGGACCCTGCTGGATGTTTTGTGTACATTATTTTGTTAAAGACTCACAACGACCTACGAAGTATAGGTTTTATCATCCCCATTTTATAGATGAAGAAACTGAAGCTGAGAGAGAGTTTGCAATTTGTCCAATGTTTCAGGCAGTAAGTAGCAGATTCAGGTTTCCTCCTGGAGCTTGTCTGATTCCAAACCTGTGCTCTTTTGTTGCTGTGACATTATAGTGAGGGCTTCCCATGGGGCTGTGGCCCAAGGGAAGGGTCTTCTCAGCCTTGTGTGTCTCTGGTACTCGGGCCATTTAAAGATTCTTCCTCCTCTCCTTTCTCCCCCCTTCTTTCCTTCCCTCCCTCCCCCCTCCCCTCTCCCCTCCTTTGATTCCTTCCTTCCTTCCTTCCTTCCTTCCTTCCTTCTTTCCTTCCTTCCTTCCTTCCTTCCTTCCTTGTCTGTCCCTCCCTCCCTCCCTCCCTCCCTCCCTCCCTCCCTCCCATCCTTCCCCCTCTCCCTCCCTTCTTCCCTCCTTTGATCCCTTCCTTCCTTCTTTCCTTGTCTGTCCCTCCCTCCCTCCTGTCCTTCTTCCCTTCAGTCCTTCATCCACGTGCCCTTACTGACTATTTGCATTGTGTCAGGCACCTGGAGCAGATGCACAGGCAGCAGCGACATGTTGCGATCAGGGCTTGGGCGCCACATGTAGCATTTGGGGTGAGGGGGAGAGATGTCAGGGCATGCGCTGGGAAGAAGTGGCATCTTAAGAGACTCAAAGGATGAGCAAGAGCTCCTCGGGAGAAGGCTCACTATGGAGCAGAACGATTCTGGCTGAGACTGCACGTGTGAAGCCCTGTGCCCAGAGAGAGCAGGGCTGGGTCCTGAGGAGGGCTTTAGGGAGACAGGAGGCTGGAGGAGAGAGAAGGAATCCAGTCACAAGGGGCCTCGGGTGCTGGGTAGAGTCGCTAGTTGCTGAGCATCAGCTGGAGGACTGGCAAGTGGGACGCACGGGAGAGTTGGAATCAAGTTTTCCCCCTAGAGGCATGTGGGAGACTAGCTGAAGGGCATTAAAGGTGAGGCTGAAGTAGCTACTGGAGTGAGTGGTAGGCATGGGGCTGGAATGGCAAGCCGGGGTGATGGGTAGGGTGAGGGTGGCTTGGGCCAGGCACTGTGGTGTCATGACTTGGCCTCCTGAAACCAGCCCATCACTTCTTGCCCTGGAGCAGGGCAGTGGCATGGGAAGGGGGTGGGGCACTACCACTGGGCTGCCCCCTGAAAGACAGGGGACACAGTCTCCCAGGGCAGCTGCCAGGTTCAGGTCCAATGGTTCTCAGAGCAGGGCATCCAGGAACCCAGCCCACATGCCAGTCCTGCCCCGGGGGGCGGGGAGGGGGCTGCCCCTGCACCTCAGGAAACAGCCTGGGATTGCTGGTCACATCTTACTGCACTTTCTGTGACTGAGCAGACCCCGGAGCCAGCCTGCCTGTGTACAAATTCTGCCACAGACTAGACGTGTGACCATGGGGCATCCCCTAACATTTTTGTGCCTTGGTTTCCCAATTTGTAACATAGATCTAAAACTAACATTGTGAGGATTAAACGAGTTAATGTGTTTACAGTACTTGAAATAGTGTTGGCACAGAGTAAGCATTTCTCTGAAAGTTAGCTATCATTTTTATTATTACTATTACTATTGTGACATCCACTAGACGGTATGCTACTTGGGACTGGGGGCGAATGAGTGGATGAATAAATAAACAGTGTGTTCTGGAAGCTTCTTGCCCTCGCTCACATGCAGAGGCCCTCCAGTGCAAGACAGGCACAGCAGGGAGCCGCCGAGGTTGGTAGGTGTGTAACGTGCGTGAGCGTGCAGGGAGGAGGCCAGGCCTTCAGGCAAGTCTGTGTGCGCGTGCACGTGTGTACGCACAGGCACGTGGGCCCTTACACACACACACGTGAGCAACCAGCTGTGTTGGCTCCCTCCACAGGCTGAGGGGGTGATGTCCTATCCTAGCCAGCTGGGAGGGGGAGGGTGGCAGGGATATGGAGTGTGCGGTTTGGGAGAGCAAGACTCAGGACTAGGTCAGGGCAGGGTAGGTTCCTCTCTATCCTTTGTCCTACCCTTCTTCGGGGTCTCTGCCTCTGACCTGGCCCTGAGCCCTCTATGTATAAAGCCTTCTCATTTCTGTTTCTCATTTGAGGCTCAGAGCAGCCTGTACCATAGGCATGATTATTGTCCCATTTTAGTGATGAGGAAACTGAGGCTTAGCTAAGTAAACTGATGGGTCCAAGGTCAAACAGCTTGTAGGTACAGGTATGTCCCCCTCAACCCCACCTCTGGCTGGGTACCCCATCCCTGCTCTCTCCCCAGCCTTGGGCCCCCACCAGCCAGGCACCCTCCTGTCTCAGTTGAAAGAGTGTGATGCCTGCAGATCCCCAGCCTCCCTGTCCAGGCTGGCCAAGCTCCTCCACTTGCTCTGCACATGCTCCTTTCCTGTCCTGGCTCCTGCCCAGGCCCAAGGGCTGCTTGCAAGAGGACCTAGGGAGCCAGGCAGACCAGCCCAGCACAAACAAGACTATTTCCAGAGGCAGCTGTGGGCCTCACCCGAGAAGGGCAAGGCAGCGCTGGCTTGGGGTATGGACCAAGGGCAGGCTGTCTTCCCAGCACCGGGCTCAGGTCCATCTCCGCCAGTGGGCATCTTGGGGAAGGGGCCTGGAGACCGCCCCTTTCCCCATCTTCTCCAGAGCATCTGGTTGCGATTAGGGGCAGAGAAGTGAGAGGGGGCCGGCAAGGGTCCAGCAGGCACCAGCAGCCAAGAATGACTTAATTGGATAAAATGTCTAATGACAAACCAGAGCCTCGCAGCAAAGAGTCCTGGCCCCCGCCCCAGGCCTGGTCCTGGCCAAACCTTGTCTCAACCTCTGTGCTTGCTGGCTCCCAAGTTACCTCCAGTTTCGTGTGCTCAGTTATGCAGTGATTGAGCACCTACTGTTTGCTAGGCACCGAGAATACACATTTTCAGAAGGTGGGAGAGTCCTGGGGGCACCAGGGAGACAGGCATATAGTTACAACACTGTGGATGCTCTAGGAAAAGGGCTTCATCCAGAGGCTCTGGGGAGTGGGCGGGAGCAGGCAGAGGTCGAGAAGGGCATCGGATACAGGGTGGGCCTGAAACTGATGAAGATCACAGGGACTGTTAGCTCCGCCTGTCTGGTGGTCGGTGTCCCATATACCAATACCTAGTAGGGGTGGCGATTGGAGTGACAATATAAGACACATCTTTCCGAAATGGACAAGCATGGTTTCTGTGTCATTTAGAATAAATTTAATGAGGGAGCTGGAGAGAACACCGAGTCTAGGAATAGCTGCTAAATGGCTTGGCTGCCACCACTCTCCAATGCTGTGCGTGGCAGACATTGCTAATTGATCATAACAGTCTTTCCTGCTCAACACAAATGGAGCCTCAGAATTCTTCTTAGTTAGAGTGCTCCTGGCTGTCACTAACTGATAGGAGGTGGGTCTTGAGATGAAAGTTATTTACCATCCCTGATGGTGTCTAGGCTCCTTATTTTATAGGGAAAGTGACTTACCCAAGGTGTTGGAGGGTAGTGAGAGGATTAAACAGTGGCCCCCACTATGGAGACAGCTTCAACTGTCACAGCCGGGAGGAAGTGGCATCTTGTATGTAGAGGCCAGGGATGTTGGTAGACATGTTACAATGCTCAGGAACCCCCTCCCCCCCACCCCCCGCCCCAACAAAGACATATCCAGTCCAAATGTCAATAGTACCAAGGTTGAGAAGCCCTGAACTAAAAAACTCTGCTCTCTGGCTTTCAGTCCCTGGAGTCTTCTGGAAGGTGAAATTATGTACCATTTCTGGCAGAGAAATAAGGAACTGGTTTGGAAGGTTCCAGAGCAGTGGTTCTCACCCTTGTCTGCAGTGTTAGGTCCAGGGCTTCTTAATAGCTCCCCTGAGGATCATTGAAGAACCCTAATGCTCAGGCTGCACCATGGACTACAGTATACCAGAGTCTCTGGGGTGGGACCCAGACATCAGGAATTTATAAAGCTCCTAGGATGATTCCAGTGTGCAGCTGAGGTTAAGAATAATTACTGCAGGCCTGGCCAGTTTTGCTCAGTGGTTAGAGCATCAGCCTGAGGACCAATGAGTCGTGGGTTCGAATCTGGTCAAGGACATGTACATTGGTTGTGATTCGTCCCTGGCCCTGTTTGGGGTCGTGCAGGAGGCAGCCATTTGATGTGTCCCTTTCATGTCAATGTTTCTCTCTTTCTCTCTCGCTCTTCCTCTCTCTCCCTCCCACTCTATCTGAACAAAAAATGGAAAAATGTCCTCAGGTGAGGATAAAAAAAAAGAATAATCACTGCAACCCAGCTGGTGTGGCTCACTGGTTGAGCATCGACCCATGCACCAAGAGGTCGCCAGTTTAATTTCTGGTCAGGGCACATGCCCAGGTTGTGGGCCTGATCCCCAGTGAGGGGCATGCAGGAGGCGGACAGTTGATGTTCTCTCTCATCAATGTTTTTCTCTCTCTCTCCCTTCCTCTCTCTCTAAAATCAATAAACAAAACAAAACATAAAAAAGAATAATTACTACTTTGGAGGCAGATCTACCTGGGTTTGAAACTTTTTTCCATCCCTAACCTGCCATGTGACCTTCCTTAACCTCTGTGAGTTGCTGATTCCTGCCGTGAAATGCAGAGCATCCTGTCCACTGCGGAGGGCTGGGATGAGGACTGACAGTGTCATATGTGCAAAGTGCATGGAGTGGAGCTGGGTACATGTCTCAGTGTATGTGGGCTATGTCCTGCCCTGGTAGTCAGTGTCCCCAAAGGCAATGATGGCATGGGGGTGGAGCCTCTGCAGAGTGAGGGGGCTGGTCCCCTCCCAGACTGTCATTCTGGACTACCAGGACTCAGCTTTCTGTCTCCTTCTCCCAGGTCAGGATGCAGGCCCAGGCTCTGGATGGGCTGCCAAGGGGACCGTGCAGGGCTGGAGTCGGAGAGCCCGAGAGAGCCCTGGGCAGGTGTCGGAGCCGGACAGGACCCAGCTGAGCCAGGACCTGGGTGGGGGCACCCTGGCCATTGACACACTGCCAGATAACAGGACCAGGGTGGTGGTGAGTGAACATGGAGGGGAAGGGAAGGGGCCGGGAGGGGGGCTGCCAGATGGCCCATGTACACTTGTCAGACACGCAATCACATGTCCTTTGGTGTTGGCTTTGGAGGTCAGTGTAAAGATAGGGATCTAGAGGGGATAGAAACAGGGCCCAGCCTGGGTCATAAAATCTTGGCATCTCAAGAGTTTCATAGGCTGCCTACCTCCTCATGGACCCAGAGAGGTAAAGTGATTTGCTCAGGGATACACAGGATGTCCACAGGGTTCCTGACACTGGACTCCTGCCCTGCTTAGGGCCTCCACTAAAAGCTGAATGAAGGTGACATTCTTAGTCCCATCCAGCTGCCAGCTCTGGCCCCTCCCCCACCTTATTGCTGTGCCATCTACAGACTGTGTGTCCCCAAAGGGTTCATGGCTGCAGGGGCTCAGGCTGCTCAGTCTCATGGCAGGGAACTCTGAGCAGAGGAAGCGAAGAGGGTGAAGCCCCAGGAGAGACCAGCCTCTGCCTGGGGCAGCTCTGGGGGTGGGGGCGCTCAGAGGTCAGGGGGATCAAGGCCAGGAAGTGGGGTCCTTGCAGGGCCTGGCCCTGCTCTCCGGCTGGCTTTCTGGCGGCCTCTGCATGTGTGCGGGTGAATCTGTACTCATGTGTGTGTCAGCAGGAGTGTTTGCACGTGTCTGAGGGTTTGGTGGTTATGTACATCTTCTTCCTGCGTGTCTGTCACCATGAGCTCTTTATGTCTGCCTGAGTATGTGTGTCCGTGCCTGTGGCTGACCGTAAAGAGAGTGGATTCTCCGGATGTTGGAAAACTATGAAACAAGAAGGAACAACACATGTGCTTATCAGTATATATTTTCTTATTTTATGTTCTCATAACATTTGTTTTTTAAATCAAAGAAGTGTTTACAGATAGTCAAAAAGGTCAAATACTGCTAAGATTGGAAAACAAAACACAGCGGTGCCCCCCCCCCCCCCCCCCCCGGCGAGGCTTTGGGCATGTTTGCTGGCACCTCCATGTGAAGTACCTCCATACTTCGAAGTAATTTGCTTATTCTGTTGCCTCTTTTTTTAAAAAAGTTTTTTCTTTATTGATTTTAGAGAGAGAGGAAGGGAGAGGGAGAGAGAGATAGAAACATTGATTGGCCACCTCCTGCATGCCCCGCACTGGGTATTGGGTCCACAGCCTGGACAGGTGCCCTGACTGGGAATCAAACCAGTGACCCCTTGATGCATGGGTCAATGCTCAACCACTGAGCCACACCGGCCAAGCTTCTGTTGCCTCTTGATTAATCCGTTTAGACATTATGTGTTGACTGCCTGTTGTGTAGATGAAGATTTGCTTTTTACACACTCCCTTGAGCTTCATTTTACTCTCTCAGTATTTTTATTAAATCCATATGCTCTGCTTTATATCATTATAAGCATGTAAATATTGTTCACCACTAATCCAAGCAGGGTGATAGCATTGTTTACTTCCTTATATAATTTTTATTTTTCCTGGATCCTTGCCCCCCTCCACTTGCTTCGTTTTCTACAGCTATATATTCTTACACATCCATTGGTCTTGTTAAGATAAGAGACCACAGGCTTAAAATGGAGTTCCTTGTGCTAAACCCATAGCACAAAAACCAACCCTTAATACTTAACTTAATTATAGTTTCAATGTCTCCCAGGAGTGGAATCTTAAACCAGTCCGTCTAGAACTACCTATTGAGGTGATCTGCTTGATAGACCCCTGTCATTGCCCTGAAAGAAGGTGACCTGGACACACACAATCCACTCTTTGCTAGAAACCTCCTTCTATCTGCTAGATGAGATGGTGCCTGATTCATGAATAGTTTAATAAAACCAGTAAGATCTTTAAAATGTACTCAGTTGAATTTTGTTGTTTAACAGCCTCAATGATAATTTTCAGGGTAGTCAACCCTGTCAGTTCTCCCCTGTCCCCCGCTCCCGACCCAAAACCTGTCTCTTGTTGTCCTGCTCCAACCTGGACCGGCTGTCCCCCTGCCTGCCCCACAGCCGTCCTTGGACCTCTCCATCGCTGGGACCCCGGTCTCTCTCCTGTGTTGGGCATCCTGTGCTCTTGACTCTGTGTCTTCTCTTCCTGTTTCTCCCCCTTGTTTGTTTAGCTTTCTGAGAAAGGTTACACGGGAGAAAAAATTCTTTTGAGAGCTTGCATGTCTGAAAATGCCTTTATTCTTTCTCACACTTGATGGATGGTTTGGCTGAATATAGAATTCTAGATTAAAAATAATTTTCCTTCAGAAGTTCGCAGGCACTTCACCATTGTCTTCCGGCTTCCAGTGTCACTGCTGAGAGGTCTGATGTCATTCTTATGCCCCCTTTCTGACTATGCCCGCTTCTCCCCCACCTCCGGAAGCTTTCGGGGTGTTCCCTGTCACCTCCGAGAGTGAGGGCTCTGCTCCGGCTGGGTGTTTGTTGCACAGTTTCAACCTGGAGATGGATATTCACCAGCTCAAGAACATCTTCCTCTTTGTTTCTTTGATAATCTCCCCTCAGCCCGTTCCCTTCTTTCTACACTTCCCTCGATTAGCCATCCTTCTTGGGGAATGATTCTCAAACTCTCTTCTCTTCCGTTGTTCGTCCGTTCCTTTTGCATTTTTTGTTGTTTATTTATTAGTTTGCATGTTATTATTGTTTTACGTTTTGGGAGATTTTCTCAATCTTCTTTTCTTTGTTTTGTCAACCTTTAGAAACTGTTCATTTTCTGTCATCCTTATTTCTATTCTGTTTAAGAATTTGTGGGCCCTGGCTGGGTAGCACAATTGGTTAGAGTGTCATCCAGATATACCAAGGTTGGAGGGTTCGAGCCCCGAAAGCAATATTTCTCTCTCTCTCTTCTTCTTTCTAAAACAATAAATTAAAAAAAAAAAAAAAAAGAACAGCTTAAGACCACTCAGTGGTTGTCCTTCAGCCTTATTGTCTTAATGTCACTGATTTCCCCCCTACTATTATATTTTTAATTCCCAAGAGCTCTCTATTATTTTCTGATTATTTCTTTTCTCAAAAGGGCGTCTTTTTTTGTGCCATAGATATATCTTCTCTTTCTAAAGATATTTAAAATTAAGATGTTTCAATTTTTTCCTGCTCTCTGCATCATTTCTCTCTCTCTCTCTTTTTGTGGGGGGTTGTCAAACCCAGGGACCGTTTACAGGAGTGGGCAGCGTGAAGGAGGACAACAGGGGTGGAGAAGCACTTTAGGAATAGCAGCCGAGTGGAGGAGCTCAGACTGGCAGGGAGGTGGTTACCCAACCCCGGAAGAGCTGCTGGCTGCCTGGCGGAGGGGCTGCTGGACAAGCGCGCAGCCGGGGGTGGGAGAGGGACCAGTGCCAGCCCGCCTGGTGGGGCGGGAGCAGCGTAATAAATGCTCTGAACTCATCTCCTCTCTGCACCACTTCTGTGACTGATTATTCCTTTTATCTTGGGCTCTGACATGGCTTGGCACCATTCCCGATCCTGTCTTTATTTAATGTTTTGATATTTTGTTCATCATAGATTTGTTTGGATTAATTTTGACTTTTATAAAATGGGGCATTAAAATAATCTCTGTCTTGATGACTGAGTTTGTGGATTAAACGTTGCACCTGAGGTCAGCGTCTCACTCTCCTCACCCGAATCCTAGCCCTGAGGTAGACCCGCACCCCACACTTGGCCTCCCTCACTTCCCAGCTGCCCTGTCTTCTCCACCCTGCAGCACCAAGGAGCCATGGTGGGATGATGAAGAGGAGGGCATGGCAGGAGAGGTCCCTCGAGTGAGGGAACACCTGGAGGCTCACCCTTCCCTACCCCCAGCTTAGTTGGGCCATCAGTTACAGAACTTACACTTGCTTTGGGCCAGAAACCATGGCCAGAGGGCCACGTCCCAGTCTGTGCAGAGAGGACCTTGCAGAAGAGAGCCACAGAGATACAGACTTCTGGAAGGAATTGTCTGTGGGCGTCAGAAAGGGCAATGGGACCATTAAGAGCCAGCATGGACTCAATAACCCCAGATTCTTGGGCTCCACCCTGGACTGCCTGGTTCAGAAACTCTGCAGATGGAGCCTGGGAATTTGCTTCTTTAAAAGTCCCTCCATGTGATTCTCACAGTCATCTAGGTGTGGGAACTTCTGACATGTAATCTTTCCAACCAATTTCAAAATCGGTTACCAGACTGATCTCCAGAACATGAGACTTTCAACCACATGGCTGTAAGACTTCCACTGTCCTGGGGCTTCGTGGCTCCCTCAGCAGCCGCACGTCGGGAGTCCACGTGGAGGACCGGGGCCACCCTGGCAAGAGATCCCTCTGACTGTGGGAGGGGTGGTGCCCAGCTCCGCCCAGAAGATTGGAGGCTCAGACTTCCAGACCAGACTTCCACCTTAGCTGGCAGCAAGTTCAGATGTCAGGCCAGGGGCCGAAAGCCCCCTCAGTGGGCTGGATGGCAGTTGGACTCCCGCCAGATGAGACTCCCAGGATAAGTGTAAATCCTGGCACTTCGGTTTAAAATAAGGTGGGAGAGAAGTGCTCACTTAGCAGCAGTTCGGGAGGGAAGGACTCGAGGCTTCTCACTGCCTGTGGGCTGAGGATGAGTCAGGAGTGAGGAGCGACTGCCAAGGCCAGAGGTGGCAAAGCCAGCTGTGTCGATGGAAACCCACAAAAACCCTGGGACCAGGGCTGGGACTCTGGGGATCCTGTGGGGTATTTCTCAGCCTGACCACAGCGGAGGGGCGTGAGCCTCCCTTTAGATGTTTCTCTAGAAGGCAGAGTAGTCCAGGATGGTTGAAGGAGTTGGGGTACTGAGCCTGGCGTCGAGACGGCTCTAAAGGTGGCTGCTTTCCAATAGCTGCGGGGCTGCGACTGGGCAGAGGAAACAGGATTTTTCTCCATAGCACTTATCCTGTCCTGCACTGAATTCTCTGTTTATTTGTTTATATTGCCTGTCCTCCCGCGGGAACTGAAGCACCATGAGACTCGAGACTTTTATCACTCTGTCGCCAGTG